TATATATATATATATATATATATATATATATATATATATATATATATATATATATATATATATATATATATATATATATATATATATATATCGCATTTGCCATTGGTCCCAAGTTCTGTAGACACAAGACTATTTTTCGCGTAAGCACTGGGTCAAAGTTCGTCGGAAGTCGGTACCGCCCCCCGTCCCGGTTGAGAAAAGTTTGTTGGGCCCTGTACGTGCATGACTTCCTTCACTTTTCTTGCTGACGTCGCAAGAACCAAAGTTCTTACCGTCCCATTATAAAATCACGCGAGCTCTCGCTGGATCGTACTCTCGCGAGAGCGGATTCAAAATGGCCGCGGTATTTGTAAATTACCTGCCTACAACACTTGGGTCAGAAAGCTGATGTAGACCGAGAAATTCCCCTTTAAAATTCCGGTGAGTCAATTTTCAAAGTTGGAGAACAGATTAATTTTCATTATGTAATTTACTAACTCAGATAAAAGTTTATGCTAACATGTACTAAGTTTGCTACCTCCTTGTTGAGCTCCACAACTTTCTTGAAATGGTTGTCCCAAATATGCATGAGTTTCCATGGCAAGAATATTAATAGGTGTAAATACTACAGTAGATAACATAATTCAAAACGTAAAATCGCCAGATACAGAAAGAGTACACTGCCTTACCTGGTTGATATACCCAACGATAATTAAGGTGTTAACGTCGCAAAAAAACTTATATACGAGCACAAACATATACATTGTACTTTAATAGTGACACCTACGACTACAAAAGTGAGTTTTGTACGGTTTATGTCTAGCTCATGTATATAACGTTATATTTTATTGCTTTTAGCTTTTAACTGTAAATTATACTGCATTTCAGCCAATGGAAATTGCTACTGTATGTTGTGTACATGTCTTGTAACAACGATGTAAATAAAACATTCAACATGTTTTCCTTCCAATCGTTGTTTGCGTCTCAACAGAATAACATTGTTATTATATTTTTATTGCTTTTAGCTTTTAATTTTGTAAATCATACTGCATTTCAGCCAATGGAATTGCTACTGCATGTGCCATGTGTTGTAACAACGATGTAAATAAAACATTTATTCATTCAAGATGTTTCCCTTCCAATCGTTGTCCGCGTCTCAACAGAATAACATATCAAGTACCTTAGACCCTTGTTGGATGTTGGTTCTGTCACAGACTGCTTGGTGGTATCCGAATCGTACGACAGAGTACGATCAGAGTACGATAGAAATGAGAGAAACATCCTCTATAGTTGTATACACGATAAGTTTCGACCTCATAAAGCCACCTCGTTCCCTGCGCTCACTCGGTGGCTTAATAGCAACTGACAAGGCTTTATCACACCATATTCACCTCAGGGCGGGTCATTAAACCGTTAAATAAAGTACAGTCTAAAATAAAGTGTTCTATTCTATTCTATTCTATTCAACACAATAAAGATCTTTCATCATCAGTCATCAGCCCATTTCCAACGGTCGCTACTCGCCTATCAGCTAGATCATAGCCACAAAAATCTCTCCATAGCTCTTCAAACAACAAGCACGCCCTCAGCGATAATGGTAAAAATAACAAGAGTGATTTGCCGCTACCCACTTCAGACCAGCCTGAAAACCGCCCAACACAAAACAGTACACGTCACGGCTTTAGTCCGTGCTTTGTGCGCTAATGTGTGGATAAGTATGCCCCCGTCAGTGTTGCGTGGCGGAACATGTTTGAACGGCCCGACACGCCATTTCCAGTCGCCCTGGAGACCACGTTATTGCCGTTATATTTGTTTGGCGAGCCGGTGGTATTTGCACACGGGTTAGCGGCTGGATTTTGGACAAGATGGCGAGGCTTAGGGTTGGAGTGTGTTGCTGGTGAAAGTTTACCTGTTCCCAGCGTTGCCAGGCTCGTCTTTGGGGACTGAAACGTGCGTGTCATCTTCTAAACAACAGCGGAGAAATATTTCTGAAGCCTTTTGTGTTCGTCATAGATGGAACACGTTACGGGATTGTAAAGGTTACGTGAGAAGAGAAAATTAGAGCAATTTCGCCAAGTAATGCTCTAGACCTGAGCACTGGAACAGCGACAGTGATTCTACTGGATACATCGTCAGTTGCAAATCGGTTACTGCACTCGACAGTTTGAAAATCGGTACCTCTACCTTGGTACCTCATCAGCAAAGGAACTTGGTATCTCTGAAACGTCGTTGTTTGGAACTAGGATCGTCCCTGGATGTAGTTGACAGCGCATGACGGATTTAGATCCAGTTTTCAGACGACGGAAGGTCCTGAACATTTCTGTAAACCACATACCGGATTAATTTGTGAAGGTAGCTCCGTGAACACTTCTGTAAACATTTCCGGATTAACTGATTTGCTACGTACAGTGACGGAAACTCGGAACATTTCTGTAAACCTTTATCCGGATTAATCTCTGGAAACTCCTGACCATTTCTGCAAGCCTTTCCGGATATATTAATCTGTTGTGACGGAAACCCTGAACATTTATACCAACCTTTCCGGATTGATTTGTTACTACAACGGTGGATTTACTTTGAAAAACACTGTCACTTTGTGAAAGAGGATTTCATTCCTCAGACCTTGTTTTTCTAGAATAATTAACACCTAATAATTACAAGCGAAAGCCTTTCCAGATAATTATTAAAAGTGAAGATTAGAAGCTTTTTGTTCAGACAATTCCTCAGTAATTAGGAAAATAATCCGTTAATGTGGTGAAAACTTTGTCCTGGGGGCGTTTTGACCTATGATTTGTGTCAACACGTCGTCTATTGAATGTGAATTTTTGTTTGTGAGAGGCCCAGGCAACAATTGATGAGAGAAACAGCCACTTGAAGAAGTATTTCATCAATGCTCCATCAATCGTGACCGTAAAGTCGTAACAGGTGGTTTGAACACCTTTGTTGTTGTGTGAGAAACTGCGAGACGAGCAAAAATCCGTATCCGGGCAGGCTACGGTATGTTGTTGTAGGACAGGTGCGGTGAGAGTTTACCAAAGGTCAGTTCAAAATGGAGGGGGCGCTAGGGGCGCTATATCGGCGGTGGAAATTCGGCGCAGAAACCGAAGAGGACACGTACAAGCGGCGGTTGCGAGTCAACATGCCCGACATAGGGATGGAAGAAACGGCAGACGCCGAGGACGTGACTGAAACGCAAGGGAAGAGAAGAAGACGCAAGAAACGAAGTGCTGAGGAAAATGGCGATGAGAAAAAGACTTTTCTGCCGCCTCTGACGAGACAAAATGACCAGGAAATGGTGCCGTATCGCGTGAGACGGGCCCAGTTGTTAGGACTGAGAATTGAGCAGGAATCGGAGGACGAGGATGAGCCGCCAACTTCTATCATTCACCCGTCTCACACCTTCACCAACAACTGTGTGTTCTGTCGGCTGATGATGAGATCGCCTGAAATAAACGCCCGTCCAAACACGCCCTCTGACGACTTTCTATCTAATTGCAGTTCGTCTGAGACGGAGCCGCCATGTCCGAGACATGACCGACGTTGTCGCCACTTCTGTGACGTTCTGGGACAAAATTACTGCCAGAATTGTAGCCGAGTCAACATCAAAACTTTGTCAACACGGTCTCACAGGCGGCGGCTCGATGCTTTCGGTAGGCCGGTGTCTCCAGTCAGAATAAGCATCCCGAATCTGTTGTCGAATGTTTCGCAAACTTTGAACAAGCACGAGAGAGACCCCCCTTCACCCGTGAAGTGGGATCGTCGAGGCAGACGAACATCCTCAGCATACTTTTGAAACTGATTTCTTGGAACATCATAAAATGTATGTTTTTAAGGAAAATATAAACACATAATTGTTGCAATGGTCTTGATAAATGTTAAACTTTTAGATAAAGCTTTTAAGAGTTTAGCCTAGAACTTTCTAATGCTCCTAGCAAGAGTAAAAGCCTTAAAATACATGTAATTGCCAATACGAGAAAGACACTCAATAAAGACATGTTTTGGGAATTTTGGATTCAACTTTTGTCTATGCATGTCTATCCATGTGTGCTCATTGGCATGTTCATGTGTCCACAGATGTACAAATGTATGTGTGTCTATCTCATTCTGTGTGTTTGTCTCTGTTTGACTGTGCCTGAATACATAACTGTTACCTGTATACATGTACATGTGCCTTAATGTCTGTTCTATAGCTTTTGTGCATCAAAATCTTGTGTGTGTGAGTCTGTATGTTTTTCTGTGTCTACTTGTGTGAATATGTGCCAATGTGTTTCTGACTTTGAGGTAAATATCAATGTACTCAATGACTAATACACTTACCATGTGTTGACGCTTTTTAATTGGTTGGAAAGCCTATAACAAGGACATGTTTCTTAATCCGACTGTCAGACTACTTCTGAAACAGCCAGATTTTCAATGTTGGAAAGTTTAACACACTTTATCTGTTTGTCTTCCTAACACTGAGCTTACCACTGGCCACACAAAAAAGCCATGTTTGAGCTAATTTTATCGAAATCCATACATTTTATGATGAAAGAAAAAAAAACACTGTCCATGCATAGCTCAAGTTTCAGCAAATACAAATGTATGGTGTTAGTCTAAACCTTTCAGAACAAAAGGATAGCGACAGAATATATGAAACTTGCTCAAATCAGACATCTTTCTTACACTCAACTTGATCATGCCCTGATGATGTGGCCCATAAAATTATGTTCACATAGCCTAACAGAAAATAGGACAGTTTTTGTGGCATTCAGTGACACGTATTATAGATTTACTGCCCATAATAAACAAAACATATCATGGAAGACTGTTGATATTTACAAAGTACTCCCTAGGTAATTGCATAATATTATGAAGAAATTGTTGCTAAGGCCACTGCCATATTCTCGAGATCATCCTTGCTTGAAAGAGAGATTTCTTAAATATCTGAAATATATGACTTAAAACATAACATCTTGTACTAAGTAACTCTATGCCTGAGAAAAGGAATCTTAATCATAATGAAACAGTATCTTCCAAAATTTAAATTTTTTAAATCTGTCTTTCAGTTATCATTTACCTGTTGAGTTTGCTTGAATTTTCCCTTATTTCTTTAGCAGAAAATCTAATGTGCCAAGTTTGCTGAAACTTCACTTAAAGGTAGTTTACAGTGAGAAACTTTTACTCCCTTTTCAGTTCACAGAAACTTTGTTTGCTTTGTTTTCTCAAAGGGTCACGAAGTCTTGCATCAAAAACTTTCCATTGCTTTTGTAACAGTGGGGGGTTCATAGGTGCTACCAGGCTGATGGGTCTAGACCTTTTCGGCCGAGCGTTAGAGAGTCGGACTGGTGCCCGGGCGGGGTTCGAACCCCGGCCCGGGACCAGTGGGTTTTTATCTGTTTCTACTCGCTCCTCCTGTTTCTTACACTTCCTATGAAAGAAAATTTTCATTGCTCCTAGAAACTTTCAGGTGTGTTTCATTCACAGAGCTTTCTAACCACGCAACTTATCATAAAGGCGCTTTAAGTGGTCTTGGACCAAGTATATATATACAATTCCAACCCATTATGTTTATATATATAAGCGCACATTGTGGGGGGCGTTAACTTTTGCATTTTCCTGCACAATAAAATAAATGGCTAACAAGTTCACTAAAGCAGTCTTCATGACAACGGCGGTTCCACGATCTTGCTCGCTTCTCGAACTCCGCTGAGATACGCGCCCGTTACCGTTTGCGGGAAATGGCGGTTGGTGGCCTAGTGAAGAAACATCAGACATATATATTGCATATTAATAATAATAATAACATTTATTGTACATTCATGCCCTGTAGTGAAAAAATGTAAATTTTGGATAAAAAATATTGTTTTTTTTAACTTTGTGAGATCTCTAGTGCAGCATCCCCCAAAAGTACATTTTACTGGGGAACGTTGCATCGGAAATCTCTTTAGTTTTTTTTCAATAATATTTGAGAACGTTTTTCAACGATATGTTAGAACTTACCTCGCCTGCGAAAAACACTTTCTGGTCGATATCCTCCGCGATAGTGTCGTACGCCTCGCCGGTTGAACCGACTTTCACGAAACTGTACGCCATCTGGGCGTGGGGGTGGGTCTTCCAATGACTGACAAAGTAACCAACGGGGTCTGGAACCTTCTGTTGGAAGAAAGAAAAATATCTCTGATTATCATGAAAGTTCATCTGTGTTGGTAGTCATGTATCAGTAAAGTCTCGTGTGAATAAGGTGACGTGTTTGTAAACCGTAACTCTCGCAAGATCACGTTGTGAAGTGATTGGTCATTAATTATCCCGATGAAGGTGACAGTGGTTGTTGAAAATTTGATCTCTCTGTAAACTGTGTGTTGACTTTTTACTAAAAATATCTCTTCTTAACCACTACAGCTGTGTACCTACATGTATTGTTGTATTTATTCAGGTACATGTACAGACTTGGACATCATTTTTAGCACTGAAGATTGGTAAATTGCATCTCAAAGATGACAAATTTGATAATTAAGCACTTGAAAAATCAGGAAATACATGTACTCTTAGAAAGTTCACCTGTGTTGGTAGTTGTTTTAAGTTCAAACTTTTGTTCCAACTCAAAGAATGGTTCACACCCAGAGCTTTTGACCAGTCACTCTGGTCTTCCTCTGTCAGTAGACTGACCCAGTGAGACTTGTCACTTGGCTTTTCTGAAGTGTGACGTCAACACTGGGTCAAAGGTATCTGGTATGCTTTGTGTTGGATCGAAAGTTTTAACTTAAAACAGGAAAAACTCCTTGTGCACCCCGCTATGAATTTTACAGCATTGAGCCTTCCTACTTTGGGCTCCTTAACTATAGAATTCCCCATAGGGGAAACTGTGTCCTGCCACCACTAATAGATAGATGTGAGTGTTGCAGCGGCACCCCCTACCTGTCCTGGGAACATGCCCCTGAGGGCCTTCATACACAGATCAATGACCTCTGTGTCCTTGAGGCTGGAGATCTGGTGTGCTGAGTCTCCACTAACCACCGTCATTAACACAGCTTCTTTGGACTGTAGGGGGAGGGGGAAGAAAAAAGGGGTTACAATGTAATTCTTGCATTGTCTTGTTCACCTTCGCAGAAGGGAAACATACAACTGTTTTTGCTCAGTTTCTTCTTCTTCCTCTTCTTCTCCAAACAAAGTCAATAACAGAACCACATGTCTGTCACCATGGTAACTGGTGCTGTAGCAGACACCCTGTGGTGTTACATTATGTAGCAAGGCAGAGCCCTTATAAGTGCCTTTCTAATTAACTGATGAATGTGTTTAAAGAAGTATAAACAGAGGAATACATGTAGTTTGTTAGGCAAATCAGATAAGAATGTGAAGTTTACCGAGGGAGTCATGTCGTAGAACACTCCAAACTGTCCCCGCTTGTCTTCTGTTGGTGGGATGTGTCCAAAGAAGTCTGCACCCTGAACACGGGCGTCCCAAAATCTACTCGGGAACTTCAGACCAACCTAGTCAAGAAAAGCAAGGACTAGCTTCAGTATTAGCAAAAAAGAATTCATATCTTGGAAGTTCATCTGCTCATGGAGTCACGTGTATTATCTGCATGACGTCACACTAGCAGTGGATTGCTCATTCCTTGACAAAGACTGGAGTTGAACTTGTACAGTCGAAAATTTGGGTGAGTCCAATTTCCTGTGTTGGGAATTGCAGTTCAAACTTGTTACATAAAAAAGAATTCAGAGATTCCAAACTTAACTCAGTCACCCAAAAGAATACTTCCATAAAACTAAAATAGATCAAATATCTGCATTTCTTTGTAGCTGTTATCAATGTTTTTCCTTCTATACTTTGATCAGTAAGTCTTAATGCTACTAAAAATAAAAAAAAAAAAACTTTGGCTTAAAAGTCTGTGGTTCTAGCTTACCTTCTCAATTAGTCCGGCTCCCAGGCTCTGGATAGCCTTAAGCTTTTTCTCAGGCAGTGGAGGCTTGAAGTCTACCACGTTCTTCTGTAAGACGGCTAGTGGCAAAGTTACCAGGACCTTACTGCCCTTAAACTCTCCTGACTTGGTTTTGACAACAACTTCCTCACCTGTGTAGTCTATATGTGTTACCTGTGAGGAAAGCAAGAACACTTTATTATTTTTGATTATCATTCACATAATACTGAGTCAGACAACAAGCTGCTAGGGGAACCAAACCCACACCACTTATTACTGACAGGAAGAGCTATCCACCACTCAAAAATCAAGACCATAGCATGCCCAGGACAAAAGATACAAAAACTGAAAGTTCTGCTGCAGTACCAAGGGCAGCCACCAGGAGGCCCAAAATCGACCTTGACCTTTGGCTACCCAACACCTACCCACATACCAAATATCAGTACAATCCATCCAAAGGTTCAAAAGTTATGCTGGCCGCAAATATCCGGAAAAACAAACACACACACACGCAGACAGACACGCCAAAAACAATACCTCCATTTTTCATGGAGGTAACAAACTTGAAAGATAGCGGCAACCACACCTCCTGGTTCAGCCTGATGTCTAGTCCTTCTGACAGTTTTTGTAGGATGATCCCGTAGCCATCTGCGAGCAGTGTGTGATCGCCCGCGAATTGGGCAAACATCTCATTCTGGTCCCAGTTTACCGACGACACCTGGAAAGGTCAAGGTCACGGTCACTTCACAGGGCTCGAAATTCATTTCAAATCAGAAAAATATGATCCGTGGCAACAAACTAAATTGGTGTGGCCTTACTGAAAAACTTCCTACCTGTTTTAGATCTGAGCCACAGGCATACTCCAAGTTTCCAATATGGAACTGCATCAGTCTGTTTTCAGCCTAAAGAAATGAAAACACAAAGTTTTATGTTTGATGTAAAAATGACCAGAATATCACTACAATATAAACAGAACTGCACCAAGAGTAACATATTATACTCAGTCACTTTTTGGCCATGTAGCGTTACACATGTGCATTGCATAGTTTTACACGTACACAGTTAATAAATAATATCTCATTTTTTCAAGTCAAAAGGATAGGAGTTCATAATTTACCTTGTACATGTATAAAGAAGACAAGAAAATACTAGATGTTTTATACACTTACCTCTGTGAATGTCAGGCAAGTTTCTTTCACAAAAGACTTGTGCATTTCAGCAAGCTTTGCTAAAGGAAAAAAAAACAACTTTTAAGTAAACAGGCATGAAAAAAAATACACACATCTCATAATCAGCACAATCATATATAATAAACTTAATGACCCATAATCATATGTGCTTGAGTAAGCTAGTGACATACCTATGATTTGAATTGTTTTCTTGGAAGTCAAAATGAAAACAGAGGAATGAAAGGAAAACTTATTTCTGACTAATATTCTTTTCATTTCCTGACCTCAGATCTTCCAAATTTAGCATTATTTATAAACTCTAATTCATTGCAGCTACGCCCCCTATCTGTGAGTGTCCATCATGACAATCTACTACAGATACTAACTTCCTAATGGCACATCCTGAGAGCTGTCCTGGTCTTTCCTCCACTCTGCAACTGCGTCCAACATGGCGTTGAAATGGAAGTCCGTCCGTTTGTCTACAGAAGATTCCGCCGCCTCCCCGCTTTCTTCAAACAGTTCACAGCGATCTGTCATCTTCCTCATTTTTAACCCAGCCTAGGGATGGTACAGGTACAAAATAGTTGGAGATATGATACATTACATAGCCTGTGTTGAAGTGTGTTCTATAGAATAAGGTGCGAGATGAATTTCTGACCAGTTTCTGACAAATTTCTGATGACTTTCTGACCAGTTTCTGACAAATTTCTGATGAATTTCTGACAAATTTCTGATGAATTTCTGACCAGTTTCTAACAAACTTCTGATGAATTTCTAACCAGTTTCAAACAAATTTCTGATGAATTTCTGACGAATTTTTAACAAATTTCTAACCAATTGCTGATTTCTAACCAATCTGACCGTTACCAGATGAAACTCTGACCAGGTTAATTCAATAAAATATACAAAGGATGGTACAGTACATGTACCTGTTCACACATGAGTGCTACAGGGTTGTTACATACTTGTTCTTGTACAGACTTACCTGTTCACACATGAGTGCTACAGGATTGTTGACACATCCATTGACGATCTGTGCACCTCTGCCGACACAGGAGCCCAGACTGTGGTCATCCCACACCCGACCTCCGACTCTGTCCTGGGCCTCCAGGACTACCACCTTGGTGCCAAAGTTGTGGAGTTGTCGAGCTGCAGCAAGGCCTGATGGTCCAGCTCCTATAACCACTACTGTGCCCTGGAGATACGAGTGAAGAAAGATAAACAAAAACTTCTTTGTGCCACAATGAACCAATCAATAGAAAGTCGGCAAGTACAAAACGTAACCGAAAGAGAAGGCAAAACTTTTGAAATCCTATCTACAAAGACTAATCCTAGAACATGAAAAAACAGGAAAAAAAATGCAAATATTTCATGGACATGGTGCCACTCTCAAACCACTAAATGCCATGCTCTCATTGGTTAAACTGCTAATTGTGATTGACAGCCAGGTTCAGTCTATTAATGATACCTACAGCATCAAAGTCTTGGTAGCAGAGCACCCCCTGGCAGATCCTTCACATTCTTATTTCTCATTGGTCAAACAAAAATTGATTCATTGTTCTCATTGGTTGACCTGCTAATTGTGATTGACAGCCAGGATACCTACAGCATCAAAGTCCTTAGGTAGCAGGGCGCCGCCCGGCGGGTCCTTCAGAAGTCCAGTGTTGATGAGACCTTTCCTGGTCAGGAAGCACACGATCCTCTCTAGTTCCTGTACGCAGCGTATCCTCACCAGACCGCGTACGATCACGTGGCCAGCACACTTCTTCGGGGTCAGAAATTCCTGCGGACAAAGACAACGTTTTATCACATTTTCATGCATAAATATCTTCACCACCCTAAATTTCATAATGGAATCTTCCACCAATGTTAGGTGCTAGTGCTAAGAGACAGAATAGGCTGGACCAAACCATTTGTTTAGGGGTTGCTAACCTTTAAGTTCATACATAAAATCTTACTGTTACTACCCCCTCTTCTTATACTGGACTCTTCCACAAATGATAGGAAAACTGAACACACTGGACCGTGCCATTTGGTTTAGGGGTTGCTGAAATTGACTTTCCATACAATTCTTATTTCTACTACCCCTATTTTTACAATGGAATCTTCCACAAGTGCTAGGTAGTGAAAAGACTGGACTGAACCATTTAGTTTTGGGGTTGCTAACCTTTATTAACTTTCCATACTTTCTCATTACTATCAGCCCTAAATATGAAATGGAATCTTCCACAAATGACAGGTAGACTGAAAAGATTAGACCGAACCATTTGGTTTAAGGGTTGCCAACCTTGCAGTTGAGAGTCCACAGTGCTATAGTTAGGTTCCTGAGTGCCAGATACAGAGTCTGTTCTCTCCCAAACTCTGGGAATTCCTGGACCTCGTCGTATTCCATCACATCAGGCCGGATACACAGGGCCTTCCCATTCTCATTGGGCTGGTAGAAGGGCTGGAAATACGGGCACAGACCTGGGACTGCACGGGACAACTACATGTCAGGATTCTGCTTCACGAGAAGATAGGCACAGACGCGGAAGTACAAAGGACACCAATGTGTTGAAATTTTGCTTCAATGTGAGGAATTAAGTCATCATGCACAAGAAAACAAAATATTAAATTATTATTATTTTATCCAAGATCAACATTGTACATTTACAAAAATTAAATGTATGGTGTGATCTTACTATTTGGGACATGATCTTCATCATCACTGTCTTCTGCACCTAGAAAAAACAAAATCAAAGGTTGTTGTGAATTTCTTGTTTTATTCATTATTTTGCGTTTTTCACTGATTCTGTCCATATTCCACTGTCACAGCCAACCATTTTGACTTTCAATTCAACCTCTCAGCCTTCTATGAAGCCATTTTGACCTCTAAAAAAAACTAATGTCCTCTTGTCTGTGGTTATATAATTTCCCCACTCACTTCCTGTGACTGACTACAAACACCCTGCAAACATAGAAAGGTAAAAAAAAAAGAAACTGATTCTCTTCAGCCAAAATTTTACAAACTTTGCATAAAGCAAAGGACTACAACAATATGAATTTTCAGAATGTGAGGTACCTTTAGCTCCGTTGACCTTGGACTTACCCCCCCTCTGTGTAGGAGGGGGGGCACTGGTGGGGCTGAGTCCGACCCCGTCTGGGTAGTACTCTGTGAGGAAGGGGGCTGCAGGACTCCTCTTCAGTAGGGGGGGTAGAATCAGGGTTTCCAGCCAGCGATACTCACGGGTTAACTCTACTCTCTGTTCATATAAGAATGACTGTTAGTAGTCAATAACAGATTTATATACAAACATATACCCAAGCATATGCTTTTTAAATTCATTCTATTGATAAAGTATCTTGTCAATTAATCAGTAAATCTTATCAGATCAGGTTTATAAATGATTTACTTTTCAAAAACTCACCGAATCCTCTGGTGTGCTGCATAAATCTTTTTCTGTCTGTGAAAAATAGACAACATTAATTTTATTAAATGCACAAGTGTATAAATTTAAAGACTGGCTATATATGGTTTGATTCCGGGATATCTTTTTGAGGCTGCCTAAAAAGGTCTATAAATGTAATATATTTGTACTTTGTTATGAGTCTAAAAAAGAATCTAATCACAAATTTTAAGTTTATCATTGTTTATCGCAGGAAAACATATTGTTTTTGCTCTGTTTCTTCTTCCTCTAATCCTCCAAACAAATAAGGTCAGTGACCTGAACCAGCCCGTCTGTCACCATGGTAACTGGTGTTGGATTACATCATGTTGCAATTTTATAGCAGGAGGGATTTAGACTCCTGTCACCAATTATGTATGAATGCATAGTTCTCACTAGGCTGTTTGAGCGTAGGTGCCCCCTACGCTGTGATTTTGACCCCCTACGCTGTGATTTAGCCCCCTACACTGTGTTTCAACCAGCGTAGGGGTGGTTTTGGGGGGCAGAAGCTTCATTAATCTTTAACAAAATGAAAATATAACTTAAGAATGAAGCTATAACAGAGGGAAAACAAAATCTGTCCCCCAATAAACAATAAATAGTGTCTTAAGTGGTTAATATGAGTTACAAAATTTTTTGGGGAGAATATCAGGCCCATGTTTTGGGCACTCGGTGCGTGACTCGCGGAACAGAAAGTTGCCCTTCTATACCTGACCCCTACGCTGTGAAAAAATCCTGGTGAGAACCCTGGAATGTGTTGGAGTAAGAACTAAAAGAGCAGACTATATTCCAAGGTAAACACTATGCATTTGCTTTGCACATGTTACCTTTCTAGATAGATTTTGGTTGTGCAGTTCAAACCCTGAAATAGTTTATACCTTCATCCCTGCAGCTGTCATCCCACACACATATTTCTGCTGCAGTTCTAAGGTGATATCCATGTCCTTGGACAGCTGTCTCCACTTGCCGCAGTTCGACCGCGTACACTGGACCCAGTACGGGATCTTCTGGTCCGCAATGAACGCCTTGATGCTGGCCTCGCTTTTCCCGTTGGACGTCCACTGTCGTTTCCAGTTGGTGTAGATGTCGTAACCATCTTTGTAACTGGAAATGGTGGTAAGAAAAACTTTAAGGCATCTATGTGATCCTATTCAATAACTAACATTTCCTTATAATATAATATAATAGACTGATCCTAACTGTCTCACAGTTAGTGAGTTAGCTTTTCAACCAATGAGAAAATGGCAATTAATTATTAGTTCAACCAATGAGATGATGGCAATTAGCGGTTCTACCAATGACAGAGTGGCTGTTATGTTCCACCAATGACAGTGGTTGTTGACATCCGATTGCAATAATCTAGCTCCAAATATTGTAAAATTATGTCACTACATAACACATATAGCCTTATAGGACTTAATATGTATTTTTCATATCACATAATGGGTACCTTCGGTAAAAATATTCAAAGCACTCGTTGCAGAAGTGCTCCCCCGCGGATAAGTGGTACCACCTGGATGTGTAGCCATTTCCTGCACACCTGCAAAGACACAAAACAACCAAACTCTTTTTAAATGTAGACAATTGATAATACAGTCAAACCTGTCCAAGGCGATCATCCAGGGGATCAGTCGTAGCCCAGTGTGGTACCTGAATTTTAAGAATGCCCCCCACCCACCCCCCAAATCATGCCCACTTGGCTTGCACCACTGTATCCGACAGATGCTTTTCAATTTTAGGTATTAATGGCTATTACTAGTATCAGTTAACTACAGGCTGTTAGAAATATGGTCAAAGGCTTATGTATGTAACATTACTTAATTTGAGGAAAGTAGTAACTTACAGGTGGGGCAACCTAAAATTCTGAAGGTTCCCACTGGGCAACCTGGTTCAAAAAGTATTTTGTACACTTTTAGCTCTAATCTCACCTGTCTGTAGCTGAAGCGAAACAGATGGGGTACGTCGCGGAGCATCCCGCCTTCTCGCACTTCCGGTATCGCTTCCCGTCCGGAGCGTCGCCGTCGTCCTGCGCCTTACGCTTGACCTGGCGTCCCGTGCGAGACGACGTGCCGACCTGCGGCGAGGAATCTCCCGCCGCATTCGACTTCCGACGCCCTCTACCCGACATCGCACCTGCAGCCAATCAGCACGCAGAATACAGAATGTCAAATTTGATATTAGAATAACAAATGAGATATTGATAAGTTCAATAAGGGGAACTAGTAGTAGAGCTATTTCAACACAAAAAAGAAGAAAGAGGGCCTGCTCTAAGCTAAATTTTGATAAGCAGCTACGTATAATACGGTGAATTCAAGAGGCCACCCCCTTACGTTTTACGATAAATTTCGGGTAGCACATTACGTAGGTTCAAAATGGCGAATTACGCTATAATAACGTTACGCAAAATGCACACTCTACGTTGAATTAGACTCGGTCGGTCTAAGCTCTACGTAGAATCAAAACGGCCAATTGCGCTCTACGGAAAGGGCATGTGGGCCCCATGAAAATCTAGCTCCATACTATTAAGTCTACTTACAGTATATTTGGAAACAAATTTCAATAAAATGCTCTTATAAAATTATGCAACTTTTCTGCCTAGTTTTTGTGATGCAATCTGCGTTTGCGATTTTATTAATATTGAACATTAGGAAATATCTTTTACCATAGTCATGCAATCATAAACTAAAACAATGTTGCATAAATGGCTGAGTTTATATTTCACATAATTTCATGTTGGCCCCCTACACGTGACGTCATACATTTTCACATGCATGAAAAACTCCTGGCATGAAAAAAATTCAACAAAAGACTCTTTCTTTGTCTTTTAAACTACTCTTTAATCTTTTCCTGAGCTACCACTACACCAACAGCCAATATTTTCTGGGTCAAAGAGCTCCTAACAGTCAACCTTGTACTAGAAAATTGACAGGTAAGTAGGAAAAGGTGTTTTTGAAGGTATTTTTTGGAGATAAATATTGGCTTTCTTTCATCTGCCGAAAGCATGGCCTCTACCACAAACATAAAACACAGCAAGCATGACCACGTTCTCAACACTTTTCTCCAACAAAAACAACTTCAATACACTTGACTTCTACTCACCCTAGTCGAAGACAACTTATTCTTGCTCTTTGCAAAGTTTCAAAACCGCTAGTTTTGTAGTTTTGGCGAATTTGAAAGATTTTTGTGGAAAAGTCGGAGCCTGATTTACCCCATTCACTGTAAATGAGTAGCCTCGCTTTCGGTACGATATCCCATCATGCACTTCGTTTCCAAGATGGCGGCCAAGGTGAGTAAAAAAAAATCGACTTCTGCTAAAAACTTGTGAATTTCTTAAATTTTTACTTCTTTTAACGCCTGAGGACTATAAAAAAACAATACGACAAAGTCAAAATAAACTTGAGATAATTTTTTAACTGAGATATGGGACACAAAAGGTTGGAAATGATCGTGGGAATGTCGGAAATTGAGCAGACGATGATGTCATAAGTACCTGGCCACGTTGGCTCAATGTTTGTAAACAAACCTTATTTATAAATATTTATTTATCGCCTCTCGAGGCTCTTCAATGATGTATATGACCTATTTGTTTGGAAAACAACACAGCTTGATAAAGCAAATTTATAGTAGTTACAAAACTGTTTTGGGGATCCAGGGAAGAGTTGAGGGGAGGGGCGGTGCCGATCTACGTAGCATTAAAGCGATAGTATGTAAGATTTTTGCGCCAAAACTGGAAATATAAACAATCAAAATGTTTCTTCTTTATAATAGGAGGGTCTCCCTAGTCTTGGACATCTCTGGAGTATTGACCCAAGATGATATTCACAGATCCTTAAAGGTGCAAAAATAAGACAATGGTGGCAAGACTGTAGCACAATGGAGTGAGATTCCACTGATTTATTTCTTCATCAAGAAATACCACAACACCAGCAGCCATGTTGGAGTCCTATATCGCGCCCATGTTGATGAGTTACGTCAACAAGTACATCAAGAACCTCAAGCCATCGGACCTCCAGCTTTCGTTGTGGGGAGGCGACGTTGTTCTTAATAACCTTGACCTTCGTTTAGACGTGCTAGAGCAGGAGTTGAAGCTACCGATAACGTTTTTAAGCGGACACATCCACGAGCTTCGCGTACACGTCCCGTGGGCCAGACTTGGCTACGAACCCGTCGTCATCACCATAAACACGATAGAATGCGTGCTGAAGCTCCGCGATGCCAGCCCGGCAGAGACCGAGAGCGCCAGCTCGAAGACTAGTAACGCCAGCTCGAGGGCAAGCAGCGTGGACAGGTCAAAGGTCAAACGCCAACTAACAGGCAGCGACGCGGACCTCCCGCCAGGCTACGTTCAAACGCTGATAAACAGAGTCGTAAACAATGTCTCTATCGTAGTCAACAACCTGATACTCAAGTACGTCGAAGACGACATTGTTCTATCGCTAAACATCAAGTCTGCGGAGTGCTACAGCGTGAACGAGTTTTGGGACAGTGCCTTCATCGACCTATCCGTCGAAGATCTCGTGCTTCGGAAACTGATCAAATTCTCGGACATGACGGTCTGCTTGGACAAGCGGACCGCCGCGGGCAAGATCGAGATGTACCAGGAGCCAATGATCTTCCGCTGTTCTTTTGAGACGCGGATTTTCATGATCTACGAGAGCCTGAACGCGAAGCTCCCCTATGCGACCAAGATTAACACGTTCTGTGAAGAAGTGAACATTTCCATCAGTGATATCCAGCTGCCCATGTACCTAAGACTCATACAGCTCTGTACAGCGCTGTACTATGGTGACATTGACCTTCCAGAGGGACAGCCACAACAAGACGAACATGAACCTGGATCTCAGCAGGAGTTAGCAGCAGGAAATACAGGTATTTATTTATACATGAAAATGATTTTTTCAAAGAGCTGGTTCCTAAGCCAGCATTTTGGTGACCAGGGCTCGAAATTCATTTTTGGGAATAGGTGCACCAATGCACCCAACCTAAAAAATTAGGTGCACAAAAAATTTTTGGGGTGCACCATATGAAACAATACCTAATAACAGATCTAACTGCTCCTCTTCTAAGCTTAAATCTGAAACGAGAGCTAACTTCAAAATCTTAAACAAGTACTACAACAAAGATTTTTTTATATTTTTTGGATGCTCAAATGCCAAGAATGTCCTGCATACTACTATATAATATGTACAAAAATACTTGGGAGAAAAATATTTGGGAGAAAAAAATTGGGTGCACAGCTCCAATTTTGGGTGCACTGACTAAGTCTAAGGTGCACATGTCCCCAGTATTTTGAGCCCTGTACGTATACATCATATGAATGAAATGTAGGTATAGCCTTTAGTTTCTTAGGTTGTACACTGTAATTTGCAAAGAACTTTGTCAACCTGGACACTATTTACAGGAGCAGTGGACGACAGTGACCAGCTGCAGGACTACAGTGACCAGCAGGGCTGGGGGTCCTGGATGTGGTCACTCGTACCAGAACTGGTGACGTTTGAAGAGGAAGAGTTAGAGGGGGAGGGGGGCGTCAGGGGCAGGAACACTGCCAAACCTGCAGAACCCATCCTGGCTTTCAGCGCGTATGTCAAGAAGGCAGTGGTCACATTTAAGGTAGGACATGGTTTAACAATAGAAATGTCTTAATTTCAAATTTAATATGTCATACATTGTACCTAGGCTGCAATAACAGGTTTTCATGGGTGGGTATATATAGATAAAATACAACACAGTGTTTTTCACATTGCCTTTGGTTCCAGCCTTTGGCCGTCATGAGTATAGAACTTTGAGGCATGCAGTACTCTCATTGGTTGAATTATTAAATGCCTTGCTATCATTGATTGAACTCCTAATTGCCTTGCTATCATTGGTTGAACTGCTAATTGAGATTGACAGCCAGAATCAGTCAATGAGTGTAGAACTTTGTGGTACATTCAGCCACTCTCTCATTGGTTGAACCGCTAATTGCCTTGCTATCATTGGTTGAACTCCTAATTGTGATGGACAGTCAGGATCAGTCGATGAGTGTAAATTTTTGGATCTCTCTCATTGGTCAAACTGCTACTTGTAATTGCCTTGCTATCATTGGTCAACTTGCTAATTGCCTTGCTGGCATTGGTTGAACTGCTAATTGTGATGGACAGCCTTGGCTCATGTGTGTTCCATGCCTCCCACAGTTGACAGAGCTAACCCAGGAGAACATGTTCTACGGACCACAGAAGTTGATCTTTAAGCCATATCTAAGACTGGAACAGGATGGTTCAGCGCTGGAGATACTCATGAGAGGGGAGACCTTCTTTGACGCTCAGATCGGATTCACCAAGTTCCAACTGACTTGTATGGACGAGGAGGAAACAACCACTAGAGAAATGGTGGGTGGGAAAATATAAGTACAGTGTATTATAATTCTTGCTACAAAGATTTGGTGCAATGGCCAAGTGGGTAATATATATACTAGTAGAGTGCTCACCCTGCATTCCATAGGTCGTGAGTTCGAACCCCGGCCAAGTCATACCAAAGACTTTAAAAATAGTACCTACATGTACTACATGCTTTCTCTGCTTAGCACTCAGCACTTGGGAAAGAGTATGGGGACTAGCCCCCTGCTGTAGTGACTGGGCCACAACAAAATAGTGAGTCACAGTGAAATGGTAGAAAGTATGAAGACAGTTTTCTTGTGGCACAACCTACATGTAAAGGCAAATAAACTATTCTGCAAATTATAACTTAAGTAATGATTTTTAAAATCATTCTCTCCCCACAGGATCCATGTTTTCTTCAGTCAGGAGAGCCAGTGGAAAACAAGACCAGCAGCCATTTCTTCTCACTGTCTTTGTTTGATGAGAGAAGTCCTGAAAACAACAGGTCAGCACGTACATTTCTTATCATGTTTAAAGTTAAAACTTTTGGTCCAACACAAGAAGTTCTCTCACCTAGAGCTTTCGACCAGTCACTCTGGTCTTCCTCAGTAGACTGACCCAGTGAGCCTCACTGGGTCAGTCTACTGAGGAAGACCAGAGTGACTGGTCGAAAGCTCTAGGTGAAAGAATTTTAGTGTTGGACCAAAAGTTTTAACTTTGAACATGTAACTACCAACACAGATGAGCTTTCATGATAACATTTCTTATCATATTTTCATGTCAAATCCTCATTGAAATGATATTATAATAGATTTAGGTGTCTCATTAATAGATTTCACTTTGTAGTATACTCTCCAAGCAAAGGTTTGGGCTTCAACTTATTTTTCTGTGCGTTTTGGTGGGGCTCTTTTTTTTTTGACTGGTATCTTTCTTTACACACTTTGGGTGGCAAACAATAACTGCCTGGCGAATGGCCAACGAAAGATCTGCTTGGAGATTACTACTTGTATTCCTGCATGCATCTTTATAACTTATTACTACATAAATACATAAATGGATTGTCGTTTTTCCTTTTGATAAATAACGATCATTGTTCATTAATAATGATAGTCATGTGTCCTTTTTTCTGCAGGGTTCCCCCTGACTTTGTACTTGATGTAGAGATGCACCAAAGATTGTACAATGAGACGGCCATGTTACAGAGATATGGGGCCTTTTGGATGGACTATCTGTACACCATGGAGATAGAGGACAGGATTGGTCAGATATAAAATGTTTTATATTATAGCACATACTACTGTCAAACCTGTGTGGGGTCATGTGGTGTAGCGGTAGCGTGTTCGGCCTTGAACCAAGAGGTTCCGGGTTCGAATCCTACCTTGTCACCGATCTTGTGCCCTTGGGAAAGGCACTTAACACAACTTTCCTCACTTCACTCAGGTGAAATTGAGTACCTAGCTTTGGATAGGGACCTTTGCAGATCTAAAAACGTATTGCTTCTGCTCTGTCTCCTCTTCCTCTTCTTCTTCTTCTCCAAACAAATACTAGTAAGGTCAATGACCTGAACCAGCCCGTCTGTCACCATGGTAACTACATGTAGTGTTGGGCTACATCATGTTGCAATTTATAGCAGAAAGGATTTAGACTCCTGTCACCATATATAAGAATGTGCTTGACTGAGAATTAACAAAGTAGACTATTTGCAAAGTAAACATTTCACAGTTTGCTTAGTTTGCAAATGTTACCTTAAAGTTTCTAGTAATAGGTTTACCGAAGGAAAACATTTGTTTTTGCTCTGTTTCTTCCTCTTCTTCTTCTCCAAACAGTGACCTCTGACCTGACCAATGACATGATTTGTTGACGTCTGTCACCATGGTGACTGGTGTTGGGTTACATAATGTTGTAATTTCATGGTCTGCTCTGCTCCCGTGCTTACATTATATATATATAATATGTGAAATGTGTTTGAGTGAGAATTAACAAAGGGGACCATGTCCGAAGGTACATTTTGTAAGAAAGCATTTTCTTTTTCCCCATGCAGTCTCAGAGAGTGGTTCAGATGCTGGTTCCCACAGTAGTCAGGACATGTCTACCGTCAGGGAGTCCTCATCCAAAAGGTTCCTGTTTGCCCCCGGCCAGGCTACCGTCACCAGCGAGGTCATACAGAAACTGCTCAAGTTCCAAGAGTGTGCCAACAACCACGAATATGAACCCTACAGCCAGCCCAAACCTGGTCGGTTATCACAATTAATGTCATACACCTAGGCCATGATAACGTTTGACACAGGTGTTCCGGCCCATGTGATAACTTATTTTTATGTCATACCTGGACCGCCATTATGTTCGATACTGGTGTTCCGGCCCGTGTGATAACTAGCGGTACAACCCGGGGGGTTTTAACGCGTACAGCCTGGGCTTCCAAATGTTCCATAGAACGATTTGAACGTGTTTCCCCCTAACTGCGTGCACCGCTTTCGAAAATTCGAAGCCCGTGTGATAACCATTAGTACCCATGTGATACGGCTTAGTTATCACATGCCCTGGAACACCTGTATGGAATTATATTATAATTAGAGCAATTTAGTTTACTTTGATGTCTAACCTTCATCGATATACAAACAAATAAGACGTCAGAGACTCTAAATATTTAACAGAGGTATGATGTCTTCGAACTCTTGTTGCAGTGGTTGTTGATGAGAGTCGACCGCGCCCGACTCAGGAGGAGGTTGCAGCCATGGAGGAGTTCATTCCCACACGGTCCATGCACGTGACCTTCCTGTCAATCACTGCGTACGTGTGCGGGGCCGAGAGACTGGAGACGGCATCACCTGATGTACAGGAACCCAGGAAAGGGAGGAGAGTCTCCAGACAGGTTAGGGGTGGTACATTTTTGGCAACGTCTCAGGGGCGGAGGCTTTGGAATTATTACTCTGATTGAGTTGAAAATATTCTAAGAATTCTACTAATGCATTCCCTATGGAATCAAATATTGTCAACAAGATAACTCAAGAACGGCTCGATGGATTGGTTTCATACTTAGTGGGTTGGTAAGGTGTGACTAAATCTAGACATGATGAGATTTTGGGCCCCGTAGTGGCTTCCCTTGGTACTGCAACGGAACTTCTGGTCTTGATATCTCACGATCTGGACATGCTAGGGTCATGAATTTTGGATGGTAAGTAGCTCTTGTGCTTGAAAAGAAGTCACACGAGTAAAGGCCCCCCAGCAGCTTGTTATGGAACTGCAGGATGATTTCTTTAAAGAATATTCAAGAGAGGATAACTAAAAAACTGGTGGACCCAGTGCAAAAATATTTCAAAACAGAATTAGCAAGAAATTTAAGATAAATTCACAGAAGCAAAAATATTTCACAGAGGTATGACATCTTGATGTCTTTTTTATGATGTCATTGTTTTCCAACAGGATTCCAAACAGAAGTTGTTGGAGCCCCCAAAACAACGGGACCAAGTGTTCCCCCTCCCCACTGTAGTGTTCCAGGCTGACAGGATAGACATACAGAACACTGTACCCATGTACAGGTACAACCTGGTACCAGCTGTCAGCTGTCTGCTACAACCCTCCGGCAACCTACTACATCACTGTTACTCACACATATATGTCAAGGTAAGAATGTCTGTTACAACCTACACTACATCACTGATAAATATGTCTGTTACAACCTACTACATCACTGTTACTCACACATATATGTCAAGGTAAGAATGTCTGTTACAACCTACACTACATCACTGATAAATATGTCTGTTACAACCTACTACATCACTGTTACTCACACATACATGTCAAGGTAAGGATGTCTGTTACAACCTACTACAACACTTTACATGTGTCTGTTACAACCTACATGCACTACAACACCATTACACATGTCTGTTACAACCTACTAACTGTACACTGTTACACATGTCTGTTACAACCTACTACAACACCATTACACATGTCTGTTACAACAAGGAGGTTAAATACTTGGTTACAACCTACTACAACACTGTTAAACGTCTGTTACAACCTACATTGTACTACAACACTGTTACACATATAATATTATGTCAAGGTAAGGCTGCACCTACATGTACATGTACCCGGTATTTTTGAAATCAAAATTTTTGTGTTTTGCTAATCTAGATTTTTTTTTCTGCAGGTATTTGGGTTTCAGGTTGGGTTGACCACCATGGATCCTTCCAACCCATCACCTGCACCACTGACAGTACTGCCCCCTTGCAGCACTGCTGTGTACTACAAGACACTCTTGCTTCCCATGTATTGGTAAGAACCAGTTACCAATTTACAATATACATAGTACTTAATAAATGAGAGTTTATGTTTAAATACGTATTTAAGATATGTCTGTTTCTTCCTTCCGTCAAGAGAATTTTGATACATTTAAGTTGTTTGTATAATAGTGTCTGGTTGGTTCCATGACAAAACGTCAAAACAAAACGTACTTCGTAAATATTAACAAAATTTAATTTTTTATGTACTTACAGCATTTTAGCTCTGGGAAACAGAAACATTGGTTTTGTTTTTCTCTTTTATTCCAAAATGAATTTTTATTTCATTCTAATGTACAGGATAGAATTTTGCAAAATGGTCACACTTGTCCAATTAACAACAAACTGGTGTCTGTGCAGGAGAGACCCCTTGCAGTCTCAGACAGAAGTGCTACTGGAGCTTCCAGGTGTCGTCTGCACCCTGACCCAGCCGCAGCTGCAGCTGCTGCACCTGATACAGCTGAGCTGGGCCGGCCAGCCGGGAGGGTTCCACAGGACAAGTCTGGTGGAAGATGTCTTTAATCCATCTGGTGTGTGTTGTTACGTGTACTTGATGTTTTTTATGTCTGTTTGTTTGCTTGTGTGTCCATGGTTATTTTGAATAAAGTAGCATCAGAGGAAGTGAGGGGCTGACAGGCTGTTTTTGGGGTCAAATGGTCTCCACAAGGTTGGAGGAAGTAAGTATACAAGGAGGGGAAATGCCATAACCGCAGACTGACAGGAAATTTAGAATGGGGGTCAAAACAGTTCCCTCAGACTGGAAGGAAGTGAACTGTATGTTATCATCATCATCATCTGATAAAGTTACTCCAATACACCCTGTCCTTCATGGTGCACACTAGAGCAGACCCTAGAGACAAGTGTAGAGTATGGTAAAGAAACATATTAAGGCTTTCCTGACCAAGAGGGAGTAAACAGTAGTGGTAGAGGGGAAGCCGTCGGCTCCGGTTAAAGTAGCATCTGGGGTCCCACAAGGAATCGGCCTGGGACCATTGCTCTTCCTCTTTAAATAAAACAGGAAATTCACAGCTTCTCTAAGTATTTTATCAAGGTGTGAAATGTTTAATATTTTGTTTTGTCTTACAGCTAAGGCGTTCCCAGCAGGCCAGCCAATGGTGGAAGTGTCCCTGACTGGTCTGGAGTGGAAGTTAGTGGAGACCTCCAGTCTCAGAGCTGTGTCAGGAACTGTGGGGGGGCTGAAGGTCAACGTCCACTCTATCGGTAGGTTTGGAACCCTGTTGTGCATCATTCATTGCAGGGTTCTCACCAGGACTTTTTCACAGCATAGGGGTCAGGCTCAGAGGGACAACTTTTGTGGTGCAAGTCGTACAATGAGCGAAAATATGTGAAACTCATAACCCCCTGAGACACTATTTCTCACTTATTGAGGGACAGATTTTGTGAAGTTAATGTTTTCCCTATGCTATAGCTTCATTCTAAAGTTATATTTTCATTTTTTTATAAGATTTATGAAGGTTCTCCCTCAAAAAACACCCCTATGCTGGTTGAGAGGCAGCATAGAAGTCCAAATCACAGCATATAATTACATAGGGGGTCCAAATCACTGCATAGGGGGCCCCTATGCTCAAAAGGCCTGCCGAGAACACTGCATTGCAGAAACTTTATTTCTGACCCTTTTTACATGTTTAAAATGTTTTTCACTTAAAATGTTTTAAATGTGGGTGTTCTTGTTGTTTGTTAACTTAGAATCCAAAGGTTCTGGGTTTAAATCCCGAGCAGTTTCCATGGCCAATGTTGTGCAATTTGGAAAGGCCCTTTACACATAAACAAGAATATGTCATCTTTTGTAAAATCATGTGAATCATAAATATTTCATATTATTAATATTAAGTGTAGCTAATATTAAGGTTAGTGTGAACACCAATCAGCACCAAGGACAGGTACCTAGTTGTGACAATTTAAGAGATTTTCTCATTGGTTAGTGTGAACACCAATCAGCACCAAGGACAGGAACCTAGTTGTGACAATTTAAGAGATTTTCTCATTGGTTAGTGTGAACACCAATCAGCACCAAGGACAGGTACTTAGTTGTGATAATTTAAGAGATTTTCTCATTGGTTAGTGTGAACACCAATCAGCACCAAGGACAGGTACCTAGTTGTGACAATTTAAGAGATTTTCTCATTGGTTAGTGTGAACACCAATCAGCTCCAAGGACAGGTACCTAGTTGTGACAATAGGTTAGTGTGAACACCAATCAGCACCAAGGACAGGTACCTAGTTGTGACAATTTAAGGGATTTTCTCATAGAATGCATGATGTCTGTTCCAAGCCAAAGTTTGTGTTTGCATACATTTGTCTATCTTGGTTTTCAGAGAATGGCAGAGAAGCTATCACCCCCATTGTGGAAGGGCCAGTGGACTCTTCCCAGGTCCACAACACAAAGTTCTTCACCATGGTAACAGAGGAGGCCACGCCTGGCAACCTGACCTCTGACCTCCTGACTCTCACCCTGCAAATAGGAAAGGATGATAGTTTAAAGCCAGGTACACAACATTGTGACTCATGCATTTTCTAAGTCCATATTTGTTTGAACTATATTATTATTATAATATTATACTAGTTTTTGAATCCTTAGTCATATGAACAAATGAATGGCATTCAATGAAATTTCAGGGTAGCAAAACAAACAATATTCTGGATAAGGAAATCTGTCTGACATTTCCTGCCATTTCTTAGCACATTTTTGTCATCATTTCAAACTTGAGGATTTTGAAATAATACAAAAGCAAGCTACGTGAGGAGTCCCTTAGTTTGTTTTTTGGTACCACCAATAAATAGCTAGAACCAGCCTAGGGCATGGAAAGTGCAAACATTTTTGTCAGCAACATAATGTATTTTTGCCTCACAGTCAGATATCAGTATGCTATGGGATAGGGTTGATTCAGCTTACTACATTGGAAAAATTACCATGATATTGAGTTATTGTAATAGGCTTTGCTTATGAAAGAAGAGGTCTTGGTCTGTTTGTGTACAAACCTCTAAATACATGCATTAAATGAAATAAATCTCTATAATAAATCAAATCTGAATACAACAATTAAAATGATATATCAATGGTCATCTCTTCCAGGACATAGCCTGGTTCTGCTGGATATCCAGGGTGTGTCGTGCTGTTTAGATCCTGTACTGCTGACATGGCTGTCGTACCGCCCGCAGCCGGTATGGTGTAAGGCCAGCAGTCCTCACCAGACACACAGACAGTCATCTGTCATCACTACTGTCTCCACACAGTCTGCTAACAGGCACAGACACTCTTCTCAAGGTGGGTCCTTGTTGTCATGTTTACCAAAGGAAAACTAGATAAGTAACATTTTGCATTTAGCAAATGCATAATGTTTACCTTCAGACATGGTCTGCTCTGTTAATTCTTACTCATACACATTCACATACATGTACTACTAGTATATGGTGACAGGAGCAGAGCAGACCATGAAATTGCAACATTATGTAACCCAACACCAGTCACCATGGTGACAGATGTAAACAAATCATGTCATTGGTCAGGTCAGAGGTCACTGTTTGGAGAAGAAGAAGAGGAAGACATTGAGCAAAAACAATATTGTTTTCCTTCGGGAAACATTAAAAAAATGATATTTGCTCAGTTTCCTTTTCCTCTTCTTCTGCTCCAAACACTAACCTCTGACCTGGCCAATGACCTGATTTGCTGACTTTGTTAAATGTTGCATTGTAGCTGGTGTTGGGTTACATAATGTTGCAATTTTATAGTGGAAGGGATTTAAACTCCTGTCATATACATGTATGAATGAATGAATGACTGTTTATTTTCGTGCCATTGCGATCAAATGTCGCCCAGCCCATATGGGCTTATAAGGCACCGACAAAATACAAAATCAAGACAACTCAAAAGGTACAGAGAATCAGATGTAACATAAATTATAACTTAACATAATATATAATAAATACAGGAAATTACAGGAATACATGTATGTGAATGTGTTTATTAACTAAGAATTAAAAGAGCAGACCATATGTGAAGGCAAACATTATGCCTTTGCTTTGCAAATGTTAGTACAGTAGTTTTTTTTTAGTTTTACTTTTTAGAACTGCTGATTTTGAACTTCTGGTGCTATTTCTGGTTTATTTCAGGATCGGGGAAATCTGAGTCGAAGCAGCGGTCGCGTACACGTACCAGCAGCCAGCCAATCCCCATAGCCCAGCAGACCTCGCCACAGGAGCCTCCCAAAGCGGAGGAGAGGAAACCAGACGGCACTCTGGTCATCAAGAAATGGTTACACGATGTGTTTCCTGTTGTCAGGCAACTTCAAGTTCAGGTCAGAAAAATACTTGTCAATGAATGTTTATAATCAAACCAGTCTCTTGTGGTCACTCAAGGGACAGAGCAAAGTTGACCACCATGGACAGGGGATTAGTATCTTTTTTCATTGGTGTCACATTTTTAAAGCGTTCGACTGTAAGTCAGCAGACAACCATTGGGAGTAAGTCAGCAGTGTTCGGGAGTTAAATTTTACTCAAATTTTAGAGATAGATTTGATCTGCTCACATCTGGAAGGACCCCCACTCTTATTGATAAGAGTATAGTTCATCTTTGTTGTTACATGTTTAAAGTTAATTTACTTTTGGTCCAACTTTCCTCAGTAGACTGACCCAGTGAAGCTTGTGTTTGTATTGTTGGTTCTTAAAGTCCCTGATAGTGGCTATCCTCTTGTTTAGTGTCCCATTCAAAAGACTGCAACTCCTTTCAGCAGCATAAGCATTGGATGAGCAACTGTTACTGTTAACTACAGCTTCTAAAATTCAATTGTTACGGTAACTTAGTAAAATAAAGCAAGATTTGATATCTCTTACAGGTGGACCTCCAGCCTTTAACCATTTTCTTCCCAACGGACCACATCAGCACGATGCCACAGTCTTCTGGCAGTCTCCTCTCCCGTCTGCAGATGTATTACACCACAGCTGACAAACCCCACTCCATGCTGGCTGTGTGCCTGCCCAGAATAGGGGTCTGCAGTACCGGGCACAAACACATGGAGGCGCTGCAGGATGTACCCTACAGTCCCGATAGGCCGTTTTTGGAAACAGGTGCAGTACAAGGATTTTTGGCTCCATGGTGGGGGTTTTGTTTTTGGTGTGTTTGTCTGTTTGTTTGTATGTCCAGAGTCATTTGAATAGAGTTATTTGAGTTACAGGAATTGGGGGGGAATGATGTGTCCATAGATTGACAGGAAGGTTAGGCAGTGGGGGAAAATTCATGTAAATTAAAACAATCTGAATTTTAGAAATTCACAATAATTATTATATTGAATAAAACCTTAAGTTTATTAAATGAAGAAATTTCCTAACTAATCTTTTTTACTGTTGGAATATTCTGGACGTAAGTCTCCATTATTTCTGAAAACACTTAAGGAAAACAATAGCCTTAACTTGTTTTTCCTTTTGTTTTAGACCTTCTTCCATGGAACATTAGCCTTGAGAAGTGCAGTATCTACTCAGTACACGACTCCCAGGGGGTGTACTACCTACTGGAACCAACAGCTGTGACTTCAGTGCTGGCCGTTACGTGTTCTGGCAGCCCTCCCTCTGGAGGTTACACATCCCTGGGCATCTGTTTCCACACAGATTTGCAGCCAGTGGCTCTGAACTGTTCTAAACAACAGGTAGGATAGGCTAGTTACCTCCATGAAAAATGGAGGTATTGTTTTTGGTGTGTCTGACAGTGTGCGTGCGTGTGTGTGTGTTTCCACACATCTGTAGTCAGCACAAATTCAGAACGCCTTTGTGGATTGTGATGATATTTGGTAGGTCATAAGAAGACAAAGGTCAAGGTCAAATACGTGCCCGCACCAACTTTGATGTGAGATAACGTCCAAACGGCTTGTGCTAGGGCCACCAAACTGGTGACTTTTCCTAACATATTGTTGCCAACAATTTCATAGCAATAGGTTAACTTATTAATTTTTCGTGTTGCCATGGCAATGGGTTTCTGACAGGCATTTTTTGCAAAAATCAGTAATTTTTACTTAAACAATAAAATTTTCATGCTTTAATAACATCTTGTATAATTTCATGTAATTTTTATCAATTATTATGCATAATTTACAGGTACAGTTACTGTCTTCGCTTGCTGAGGTGGGGCTGAACGTCCTTGAAGATCTCCAGTCAAGGTCAGCCAACACAGGACCTTCTGCCGCTGGGGTCAAACCACCAGAGACAGTGTCCACTGCCATGTCCAGTCCCAGCCGCTCTCCTACTAAACACCTACAGAGCATCAGTGATTCCAGTGAGCTAGAGGACTTAGGTACATGTATGTTCTCATGTCTTCATACTAAGGCCACACCAATTTGATTTGTTGTTTCTCAGATTTTTTCATAAAAAATATGAAGCAACAGGGCGAAAAAATAAAAAAACAGTTAGACATCCTATGAATCTTAAACCTCTTAATCTTAAAGCTCTCCTTACTAAAATAAAGACAATTAAATGTATAATAATTCCACTTGGATTCTGAAAAATTGAACTTCAAGGTAAGAATGGTAAAATGCATCTGCCAAGCACACAATTTAGCTGTACATGAAGACATATGATCATACAATTTAAAGACTTATTCTATGCAGACATGGATACAGTACACGCATGATTTTATACACTGTACAGTTGCCTATGGCTCTTCCAAATGTTTTATCTCTCACTGAAGTTTGGTTCAAATTCCAATTTCCTTATACAGGCAGTGGTACGTCTACTGATGAGACTGTAATTTCTGCTAAAGACGGGGAGGCCAGTCAGGAGTCTAACGTAGGGAAGGTCTCCCTCTGGTTACAATGGGCTCTTCCAAAAGTCAAGGTGACGCTCTATGGACAGGACCATCTCAATATCAAACAAGGTGACGTGTGATAAAAGTATTATTTTATGATTACCTATGGTATATAGAAGGAATGTTTCCTTTAGTAGCTAAGTTGGCTTTTTTAGATGAATAATTAATAAAACATTGAACATCCAAGGTAGCCTGAGATTCCCAGCTTCCTGAATTCCCCCATATCATCCACTTATTCCCAATTGCTGCCAGCCCGATTCTGAAACCCTACTTCCTGTGTCTGACCTTTTGATCTGTCATTCTGCCTGTCAATCTCCCCCACCCACATGTTGTCAATATATGCTATCTGGACAAACAGAATCCACAGCTTATTAACCACCCAAAATAGTAATTCTGTACCCAAAAGTAAAAATCATACCACAAACATTTTTGATGTTTTCAAAAAGGATTTGATGTTTGAAAGTGAGTAATTATCTTACAATGGAAGTAACGGATCTCTTGAACTTGATGTTTTGTCCTAGATGTGAAGATTTGCACAGAAGTGGAAGATCTCAGTGCCTCCATTGATGTACAAGAGGTCTACACCAAGGTCAAATGCAAGGTCGGAAGTCTCAATGTCAACCACAAGGTCAAAAAGTAAGGGTAATTGTTGTGGCCTTAAATCTATGCTTTTATAACACCAGCAAGTGAAATAAAGTAAACAACATAAATGTCCCATGATTCTGTATTGTTATAATTATAATTAGTTTTCAATCCTGCTATTTATTAGTATATTCAGGCAAGGATAACTTACAATTTTTAAAAAAATTTTCCTCCCTTCCTCAGACCTCAGACGTATGACTGGGCACCAGGTCCCTTCAACGGTATCGTCCTCTCGTGTTCCGAGAAGCTTTCCAACCTTACCCAGCTGCCGGCCTTCCAGTCCCGCGAGACCAGAACCAACCCGTTCTTCCCCGAGTTCGCCAAGCTCGCCGAGACCGCCAAGCCCCACGGCTTCCTGAGCATCACGTTTACTCGCGCTCTCACCACCTGCGTACGCAAGAAGATCGCAAAACGAGAACGCGGCGAGAAAGCGTCCAAGGAAAAGAGCTGGGAAACTGACACGCAGTACATGAACGAAATATGCCTCACGGTCGAGCCTTGCGACGTCATCTTCTGGTGTCCTCTTGTTGCGTCCGCGCTGAAAATATTTCAGCTTGAGAACTGCGGAAGCCAAATTGAGAAACCTAAAGCCAGCGTTGTCGGCACGAAGTCGACGCATGCGCTGATGATTGCAACAAGCAGTCTACCGTTGTTGCATTTCAACTGTAGCAACTTCAGGTTGTTCATTCCAGTGGATGAAAGTCCGAAGGGCAAGCCGCTACAATCTGACTTGATGTTGCTTCACGTTAACTCAGTTTCCCTCACCCCTCAAGCTGACAACCCTCTCCCCAGGCTGGTGGTTAGGAAAGACATGTACAGGAGAGCTGTGCATGCTGGGAAAATGCAGACACCGGGGTCTGAGGTGGAGGACAGGCAGTACCAGCTGGATGTGAATGGGCTGGGCCTCTGCTCGGCATTGTGGGAGGAAGTGGCGAGAAGCATGGAACAGGGTAGACAGGTGGAGACAGAGGAGGAGCTGCTGATATCCCAGAATCCTGCAGTGGAGTGGAATAGAGCTGACAAGTAGGTATCATCACAGAAAAATGTGCAACAGTTACGATTTTCTGACATGAGCTTACAGAATTTTTGACTTGAGTCCTCTGCTCTTTTTAATTAAGTCTGACGTGAGACAATGTGTTGGTCAAAGGTGGTTGGAAGCTGATACCATCCCCCTTTTATGATGTAAAGTTTTGTGTTTGTGTCATAACTAATAATATAATTGAATCAATGATCTGATTAAAAATTTAACCTAAAACTAGACTAAGTTATTAAATATTCACTATCTACCCTTCAGCATGAGTTTAAACTTAAGATAGTTATTACCCAACAATATACCGTTTTCAGCAATTCATATTTTTTTAAAAAGGACAATAAATGACTAACTATTGTAATCATTTTAACCCCCAGACAGCCCCACCATCAAGAGCCAGTCCACCTGACTCCTATTGTGATGGACTACGACATGAGAGTGGTCGTGGCTCCTGCCGTCATTGTCAACAGGCACTCAGCACAGGACAGCCATGCGAGACAGGTGGGCCTCGCCTTATATGGTGTCTAATGGTCATCTATTAACAGGTGTAAGAGAGTAGCATGTGGAGGAATTCAGGAAGTGGTGAAATAACCCCCGGCCATGCAGTCCCCGGCCCACTGCATTCCCCATACATCGGTCTTCGAAAATCCACTCAACACTTCCTAGAGGTCTGTGAGCTTGAAGGTCACAAAAACCCAAAATACGTCTTGGAAATCTAAAATCTTTGATTTTTTGTGTCATATTGAATCAATTTTTCATTTCACTTCATTTTTAATTCCACATTCTTTGTTAAATTGTGATTATTATTCCCAATCCAATTCACAGAGGTCTGTTAGCTTAAAAGTCACAAAAACCCAAAATATTACTTCTTGGAAGTCTGAAATCTCTGATATCTTGTGACTGTCATGATTTTTAAACATTTTTTGTTAAATCGTGTTGATGGTTTCCACAGCCTGTGATAGTGTGTGGGCACTCCCTGGAAGTGAACGTGACCTCTGACCTGGATTTCTACGTCAGTACGGAGCAGGTGCAGCTCCTGCACCACTTGATTGACAGGAACCTGTCGGCCATGTTGGGAGGGGCGGGGCCAGAGGGGCCCAAGAGTCGCAGCAACAGTGACGAGTCAAGCAGAGGTGCGGGGGCTGGGACCAGACCACCTGCGTCAGAAGACAGTGGCATTGGTAGGACTACACTAGTTTTACACAATACATCTAGTAACCATTATGACATTGTCAATCTAGTATTTTAGCCCTATATGTTGCCCTCGCGGGAGGAAAACGTATTGTTTTTGCTCAGCTTCTTCCTCTTCTTTTCCAAACACATAAGGTCAATGACCTGGACCAGATGGGTATTACCATGGTACTAGGTGCTGTAGCAGGCACCCTGTGGTGTTGGAATACATTGTGTAGCAAGGGGCTGGTCCTCATGTGTTTCGCAATAAACAGAGCAGTAGTTTTGTCAATAATTTGTATCAGAATTTTGCCTGTTGCAGGGGATACATGTATCTTCTTCAACACTGTGACAACATTAGATGGGATGTCATCTTTTTATACATGAAATGAGACATTCTGACAAATTTGTGCTGTGCTCATGATATACATTACAATGCACATACATAGGGTCTGTCTTTTCTGTCATAACCAATGGAAGATTAGCATTTTGTAAGCTAAACTGGTTTAGGGTCACTCTCTCTTAAACTTTCTTTATTTCATTAATTTTCAGGGAGCGACAGCACCTTGATTCCTATCTCAGCCACTATAGAGAGGCAGTCGGCCGAGTTACACCCCAGTCTGTTGGAGAAACAAACCAAAACCTTGGAACGTTCCACAGAAATCATGCCCATGGACATCCTCCTTACAGCCGGCAAAATCTCCTTAATGTTGTACTCAAGTTCCTTAAAGAAAGAAGACTCCTCCTCAAGTCAAGTTTCGCAGCCTACGAAACTGGTTTCACCTTTCGTACCGATGGGTCTTTCTGCCATCTTCCCATCATCCTTTGTACAAGAGAGCATGCTGGGAAAGAGGGTGTTGAAGCCATTTGTGCATGCGGTGTTCTCTCAGCCATCGACTATCATTAATGTCCAATCAACAAGTCAGAAGCTTGAGGTGTCATGCTATGATGTCAGTCTAAAAGGGGTACCGGTGGACTTAACAATCACAGGTATGAACAAAGTATGATTACTATGAAATATTATATTTAGTAAAAGTTATGTATTGGGCTAAAATTAAACACTCACTGTTACAGTTTCTTCCTCTAGTAATGTTAGTAGAAAGATTTTGATAAGTTGTCACTGCTCTTTGATTGGTCAATTAATTGAATTATGAACATACTGTGATTGCTGTGTGGTTACATGTACTTTCATTCATTGAATGCTGGCCATATTGTTTCTGCTCTGTTTCTTCTTCCATTCCAAACACTGACCCCTGACTTAGTCAATAACCTGAACCAAACTGTCTCTCACCATGATAGTAACTGGTGTTGGGTTACATAATGTTGCAATTTTATTGCAGGAGGGATTTAGACTCCTGTCACCATATTATAGTGAATGTGTTTGAGTAATTAACAGAGCAGACCATATGCGAAGGTAAACATTATGCATTTGCTTTTGCAAATGTTACCTTTCCAGTTAATTTGTTCTTGATTTTTTTAAAGATGGCTCCAAGTTGCTGCCAGTAGCGGGTGATTTCAGTGTGCCGTGGGTCCAGACAGCCATGGGAGAGCCTGACCCTCGCAGTGGGGTTCCTCCTGCTGTATACACCTTCACTGTCACTGACTTCCTCTCTGAACAAGGTAAGGCCGCACCAATTTGATTTGTCGGTTCTCAGATTTTTCAGAAAAAGATGAAGCAAAAGGGAAGAAAAAACAAGCTTAGGCATCATATTATAGCCCTAGATGTTAAAATAAATATAAATTATAGGAGCCATGAAATCAGCACACCAGGCTGGTTTATAATTCAGACAATAAATTAAAATTTTAATCCAACCACTGCGTTGGCAGATGGAAAAAATGTTGTAACATTGTTGTAACAGTTGTTTTTTTGGTTACTTGGACGATTTTCACCACAAAACAAGGCTCATTATTTAGTACATTTTTTGGGTTACAGCACTGGCTGTGAAGACAGATGTTGAAAATTTGGTCAGTCTACATGATTGTATTTCCTATTGACACACACTAAACTTACTGTTCACAGCAAATATCTGCCTGGATGTCGGCAGACCGATCAAGGTCAACTTCAGCATCACCAAGGTCAAACAAGCCATGGGTCTCCTGAAACTGCTCACTCCTACCAAACAGTACGAAATCCAAGGCAAAATTTCCCCAACTATTCCTCGAAAAGACTCCACGAGTCTTGAAACAACAACAACGACAGCATCAAAGATAGAGAAAACAACATCGATGGCGTCAACTGAGTTGTCAGCTTTGTTGACAAGGCTGCGGTCTGCCAGCCTCGCCATTGGTCAGGTGGTTGTTGCCATGGAGACAGTGCCACACCCACAGAACCCCAAAACAGTGTTGTCCCTGACTGGCATTAACAGTAAAGTGGAGATCACACTTGCAGAAAATCATAGTAAGACGTGATTCAATATTTATATTTAATAGTTTACAGTCAGTATTTCTGAAATTCATATCGTTACGATAATAATTGTAGTTCTAATTGCTGTTATTACAACTATCATGTTCAAAAACAAGACCAAGAAACATTTATTAAAATTTTGTCGTGCTGATAATTAAAAATATGACTTGTTTTTCACCACGTTATGATGGCATGATTGTTATGCTTGACTTCATAGCAAGAAAACATATTGTTTTAGGTTAATTTCTTCTTCTGAATCAATTATAATAATTTATAGCAAGAGGGCTTTAGGCTTGTTGAATTCAATGTGTTTGAGTACGAATAAACAGGGTTTTGTTACTATTTCTATTCAGATATATTCTTGGGATAAAGCATGTATTACTAAATGTTTGTACTCTGTATAAAACATTTAAGAAAAGTGTTTTTTTGATTCCTTTAGGTGACTTGTCAGCAATTACATGTAACACAACCATCAAAGACTTCTTGGTGAAAACCTCCCTACACGACAAAATGCGACCTTTGCTTGGACCTCTGACCTCTGAACTGTCCCTGGTCTGTGATTGGTCGATCCACAGCGGCAGCCAAAGCGATCCTCATCTTCCCAAAGTGAATGCTGGGATACATCTGGGCATTGTGAGGGTTTTTGTTGGACAAGAACATCTGAACTGTGCCCAGTTAATGGCAGAACATATGCAGGAGTTTATAAGTGAGATGACAGGAAAAACCAAGGTAAGGCTTCTAGAAAGTTCTACACTCTCAATCCTGCCTGTCCATCCCAATTGGCAGATCAACCAATGAGAGAATGCCAATTAGCATTTCAACCAATGACAGAGTGGCTGTATGTCCAAAAGTTTTCACTGAGTCTCATAGACCTATCTTGACAGTCCATCAAACTTAGCAGTTCATTGAATGATAGCATGGCAATTAACTGTTCAACCAATAATAGCATGGCAGTTAGCAGTTCAACCAATCACAGCATGCCAATTAGTAGTTCGACCAATGACAGAATGTCTACATGTCCCAAAGTTCTATCCTGACTGTCCATCTCAATTAGTAGTTCAACCAATGATAGCATGGCAGTTATCAGTTCGACCAATGACAGAATGTCTACATGTCCCAAAGTTCTCTACTCCTAGACCAACATCCTGACTGTCCATTTCAAATAACAGGTCAGCCAATGATAGCATGGCAATTATGAATTCAATGGGAGCTGCATGTGACCAAACAGTTACTGTTAATCATGGCAAACAGATAATAACAAATGAGTACCGATGTTAAGGAAAGCTCTAATGCAATTTTTTGGTCCAGGACTCAAAGAGACCTGAGCCAGATGCATCGCCAGCGACAATGCAGACTGACAATCCTCCAGTTGCCAAAGATACCATCTCCATGGAAACTGTCATCAGTTCAAGAGATGACCTCAGAGTAGGAACATTCCAGTACATCTCTAACAGAGGTATGGGAAGATTTTTGGCGACGCCTCAGAGGCGAATGCATTTAGTAGTTCAATTCTTACTGAAGTCAGTGAAAATATTTCAAATATTGTACTTGAATGGATGCTTTGTACTAGGATACATGTACTTAGATTTCAAATTGGCTTCCTTTAAAATAGTGTTAACTGGTCAAACTGGTGCAATGACCAAGTTGCCTTGCATTCGGTAGATCATGAGTTCGATCCCCGGCCAAGTCATACCAAAGACTTACATGTAAAAATGGTACATACTGCTTTCTCTGCTTAGCACCCAGCCTTTTGAAAAGAGTATGGGAGTTGAGCACACACCACTACAACATGTATACTAGTGGACTTGCCCCCTGCTGTAGTGATGGCTTTGCTGTGTGGCCCAGGGCAACTGAAACGGAGATGGGCGCCGCCCTATGCGTCACTTGATGTGGGAAGGAAGTTATTAACTAAAAATTAAAATTGTCCTGTTCTGTAGATGGTGGTGAGAGACTGCCCAGCCCTGGTCAGATTGTGTTTACGAAGGAGAGAGGAGGCCAGCCCGGCACCATGGCGTGGTGTTACCACAAGCCCCGCGTCCTGACGTACATCCACGTGACTCCCGTTCCCTTCCACACCATGGACGATCCTGATATCAGCTTCACAGAGCTGGAGGAATTCGTAGAGGTCAGTCCATAGATTTTGTCTTAGTTTTGAGGTTATTGAGGGTATCTGATACCATGTATTGAAATCACAGAAGAATTTTGTTGAATTTTAGCTGGTTTACCGGATTTGGTGATTTAGAGATAATTCTAATTCAAGATGTTGCTCTTCTTAAATACTAGCCTGGTATCCAGCCTTGTTAGCTTTAGTCCGCGGGGAGCGGATCTTGGGTAGCGGACTAAAGCTAACAAGGCTGGATACCAGGCTACTTAAACACAGGACCTACATTTAACGTCCTATCTGCCTTTCCCAAGGGCACAAGATCATAGCTTCTTGAGTCATGCTGTACATATACAAACTGCAAAGTGCATAAAAAGCCAACTGCAGTACCGTTAGAAAACACCAGGTGAACCATGTTCGAACTTGACCTTCGTTTCCACATCACTTTACTCACCTATCAAATATCATGAAGCTTCTCGAGTTATGCTGTCGACATTCACACAGACCCTCACCACAGCCACTCCACCATGGCCAAAGTGAAAACATAGTAGTTACCCTTCCGGCAAAGGCAATCAATAGAATTATTAATGATTATTTTCAGGTGCCATGTTCTCTCCAATACTGGGATGAAGTGAGAAAGGCCTTTGTCCTGTTCCACAAGTTCAAACTGTCAGCTAGCAGGTCCTACCATGTCAGGTTTGCTGACATTGCCATGGCAACAGCCAATCAGGTGGTGGCAGCCCAACTGTGGCAGGTGGTGGTGCATTCTGGGACAGAAGTTCAGGGGGAGACAGAGTAAGTAGAGTTTTTTGGTTGTTTGTTTTTTTGTTTCTGCATATAACTTGTGAACAACCTCCAAACATAAGACACCAGTTTTGTTCAGTAAGTAATTGAACCTGATTTTTCACAAAAGTTGTGTGCATGTTACTGTTTAGCAATGATGAGTCTTTGACGTTTTTTGCTAATAATGATAATAATCTTGCAGTTTTAGCTTCAGTTGTTAATTGCTGCTTTAACCTTCTTACTACTACATGTAGTACTACGCCTAACACATAATCAATGGAGAATCAGTAACAGTATGCTAAAGTTTAACTTTAAGTTAGTAGCATTTTCTAATGGAATATCCCCTGCTGTATTGCTGTATAATTGCTGGCTGTGTGGCTAAACCTTCCCATCATCCCTCCATGCAAGCTTTGTGTTTGTTTCTGGAAGTGGCGACGCCGGTACCAGTCCGACCGATCGCGAGGAGGAAAGTGACCCGCTCCTGTCTCCGATGGCGTTGGCCGCCTGCATGCGCGTGGACTCATGTTTCGCGCCCAAGTTTGTACCGGCCGTGTCGACATCGCTGTCAGCAAATGGAGTGCAAATCAGCATCAGTAACCATATGGAGCATCTTGGGAAAGGTAAGAATCTAATAAAACCTCTTTTTTAGGCGTTGTGTAAATTGTGAAATTCGTGGATGCTATTCTCCTGTTTATCCCATCAGTTTTGTTTTTAAAAAATATTTTTTCTGCCATGTTTACAAACTTTAAGATGAAATTTTGAAGGTTTTGTATATTTTTAATACAAACCACAATACATGTAAAAGAAAACTATTATATTTATTCAGGTATTTTAACTACTAAAATTTCTCAATGATACAATTTCATCATATATTTTGACTTCGATTCAGCCTCTTGGTTGCCATTGTTGAACAGTGTTCCTCAAAAACAGTATTGATAATATACATGCATATGATTGTATACAATTAAGTAAAATTCAAAACAGCTTAATATCAACTTGACATGCCATGTATATTGCTGGGACTATTCTGAACTTTTTCATGATCTCCATTTTGTATACATTTTGTACTCTGATGAATGGTGGACATCCAGTTTAATAACTTGATACTTGTTTTTTTCCACAGGTGGTATTGGAAAGTTGAAGCCTTTTACGTTTGATGACTCCATGCCGAATGATCAGGAGTTTCTGGTTGTGTCTATGGAGAAACCACTTCTACACTTCAAACACTGGCATGGGGACAGGGACTGGTCCTCTGTGCAGGTCAGTTATATACATGGCATGTATTATAGGGCTTAGCCTTTAATGGAAACTACAACTACATTGTATTCAGCACCATGGAAACAACCAATTGGGGCTAACTGGGATACCTACACATGCAGGGCTCGAAATACTAGGTACATGTGCACCTTAGTGCACCCAAAATTGGAGCTGTGCACCCAATTCTTTTCTGTGGGTGCACTGGTGCACCCAAATTTTTTTGTAGGTATTTTTGTACATATTAAATAATAGTATGCAGGATATTCTTGGCATCTAAGCATCAGAAAAAATAATAAAATCTTTGTCGTAGTTCTTGTGTAAGATTTTGAAGTTAGCTCCCATTTCATATTCAAACTTAGAAGAGGAGCAGTAAGATGTGTAATTAGGTTTTGTTTTATAATGAATGAAGACCTTTATTGTACATTTTGCCCCACTGGGCTAAAGACAGGTCACATATTGACAAAGTACATCATCAATGTTGATAATAAAACTGCTATAGTACACAAGTACTTTCAACTTCCTCTCGCTTACTGGTAATCTTATAAATGTAGTTGGCAGTATGAGTAGTTAGAGCTGGTTTGTTAAAGGCTACAAGGAATATAAATTTCTCTATACTATTCAAATACTTTATATGTTGCACCCAAAAAAATTTTTGTGCACCTAATTTTTTAGCTTGGGTGCACCAGTGCACCTATTCCCAAAAATGAATTTCGAGCCCTGGAACGGCTTTTGGTACTGTAGCCATTCAAGAACTGAACAGCAGACATCCTTGAAAATATCATGTGTTGCCTCCCTCTTCTATCCCAAACTATAGATGGAAGGGTCCATCGGTACAGATGTATTGGAGTACAGGAACTTGACTATGCAGCCTTTGGTCGAACCATTCAAGCTACAGGGGGAGGTCATGTACAGGAAAGAAGCTGGTGTGGTGGGTATTGTTTCCCAAACTTTGCTCTAAAGTAAATCCTACAGTTTCACATAGGAAGTGAAAATATGCTTTAGGTCGTATAATAGATTTATGTTAGAATGTATAAGAATGACATTTAGATAAATATTATTATATAATAAGTAGATGGCCTAGTTCTTTTCTTATTAAGTGTAAAAGACTGGAATTTCACTTGGTTATACATGTATGAATTTTGGTTTACACATGTTTCAACGATAACCTTGTACTACATTTTTTTAATAGTTTTTAGTTTAGTGAGAACTTTAAGTTTAATAAGAATCCCAAGTGAAATTAATAAATAAAGATTTCAAATGTCTGCAGTGGTCTTTTTTAAGTCTGTTGCTTTTATTTCAGACACATGTGGACACTCGAGTTTCTACAGATTCAATCCAGCTACGAGTTGCCCAGGGCACAGTCCACACACTAACCATGGCTCAGAGACTATGGGCACAGGTAGCTTTATGTCTGCTATAAATTTTGGGCCAAAATTCAGGGATAAAGTCAGATTGAAATTTTTCCTACCAACCTTTGTTTTCATGTTGTACTTTTGTTGTTTACTAAGGCCACACCAATTTGATTTGATGGCTCTGATTTTTTCAGAAATAGTATGAAGCAACAGGGTGGAAAAAAACAATAAATAAAAACAGACCTACTAGTAGGCATCCTATGATAGCCATAAATGCTATGATTACATATAGGAGCCATGAAGTCAACATACCAGACTGGTTTGTAATTCAAACAATGAATTTCTGCTATATAATTTTGCATTCATCTTGATAGATAGAAAAACTGTAACAACACTCTGAAGAGAAGGCTGAATAATTTTTTGGTGTTTTTGCAAATCACAAAAAAATGAAGTGGGCAAATCCATGAACCAACAAATTAACTTGGTGTGGCCTAACTAATAGTATACAATACAAACAAAAACGAATTTCCTATTCTTTCTTCCAGAATTTTTCCCCCACAAAGATAGAGGATGAACAGCTCCTCCTCAACTACTTTGTGATCTGTAATGACACCCAGGAGACAATCCGGTTTGGACAGGTGGACACGGATGAGAACATCCTCCTGTGCAGCCGGCGCATGCACGGCTACAGCTGGCGCACACACAAACAAGTTCAGGTTGGCAGGGTTTGTATCTGTCTGTAAACATCAGGTGGGAGGAGGTGGAAGTAGCAAAATGTCTCAGTTAGAGCTGTGAACCAGTACACAGTACCGGTTCTGTACCAGAAGAAAGGATGATTAGGCACAGGTCCAAAATACCTAATCCACAAGTACCAGACGTACAGTACCTAAATTTGTGACCAAAAGGCTTAAATAGCTGGTCCCCCATGGGTCCCAAAGTAAGGACAGCATGATAAACTTTGTGTTACAGACTGACAGTGTTAACTAGTACTCTGAAAGATCTGTTGCATCTTAGTTATGCTCCCTCTAGATGTCACTTTGGTCAGGTCTGTGTTGCACGAAGCCACTTTTATAGAGTAGGAGATTAGAACTGAAACATAAGTTTTTTGCCCATAAAATGTACATGTATTTAAGACTTTTCCATAGACAACTTAACTGTCAAGTTTTTTATCATGTTTCTGTCATGATTATAGAAAGAGTTCAGAAGAACATGTTAATTTCTCAAAATGTTCAGGTACAGTTTCAGGTCTGGACCTGTACCTAAACCTGTGCCTAGAATTCATTTAGTATCCTACAAATACGGTAGAAGTAATTTTACTCATAAGTAGGCAACAGTTAGCTATAATAGACAAAACACAAATTCTGCAAATCTTAATGTTTGACCCCTTCCAGATGCTGCATGCGTGTTTTGAGGGGTGGGGAAACTGGCGCTGGTCGGAGCCGTTTAACATCGACACCCCGGGGTCGTTTGTACGAACCATCCAACATCAGGGACACGCAACATCACTGATCGTCAAGGTGCAACCAATCACACCACTACAGAAACAGGTAACGGATGTACATGTAGTAGTATAGACTGGTTTACTAGATGTAGTTTGAAACTTGCGAAGGTTTTAGAATCCCAACCAACCTTGTCCAATTTGTTTCAAATCAATGTTTCTATGTTGACTTAAGTTATGTGTCCTATCTTTATAATTATAGAAAGTTGTAGGAAACAAAAGTCTTCTACATGTAAACTGTCATGCAAGAAATGATCAAATTTGACATTCAACGAGTAGAAATTCCAGGAAAGCTTTGTTTTAAATCTAATGTTAATGTTGACTTGAATACAGTGTATGTCTCCTATCTTAAAAAGAAACTGTCACTGTGACAGTAGCATATTCAAGTCCTCTATGTAAACTGTTGTGCAAGAAATGATCAAATTTGAGATACAACAAGCATAAATTCTGCTGCAATATCAAGGAAAGTCACCAGGGGGTGATAACGTTAAATCTATCAAGTTCTTTGATTGGCCAAGACCTAATCACTCATCAAAAATCATCTTAATTTTCCGTAGATCATTTTATGTGGTCGACAAGTCTTCACCAACCACTTGTCCAAGGACCTCCTTCTGGAGATTGTCCAAGTGCGGAAATCCCAGCCTGCCTTGCCTCGAGACTTGACCTGTGACCTCCCCGCCAGAACCACGCTGCCGTCCTTCGTTCTGGAGGACGACATGATTCGCGGGATCCGACTCAGGGCGAGGGGAGAATTCACCGTTTGGTCAGGGGAGGTGGACGTGGGGTCACGCAAACAGAAGGAAACATCTCATGTACAGGTGAAAACTGGTGTTTGTTCGTTTGTTTTGAATAACTGGTAAACACATTTAGATCTGACACAACAGTTTTTTTACAGTAGGTTCAGGCTACGTAAGGGCAGTCCGTAAGGTTTAAAGGCATCCAATGCAGTTTGTAAGGCTTTGAAACAAGATATTTCAAAGTCAACATTCTAGTCACTTATCTACATACTGAGTTGAAAGAACAGTGACTATATACATGTACATCCCTGGACCAATGTATATTGACATTCATGGAACAGAAAGACCGAAAATTCTGATCAGCTTCGCAGGCACGCGGCACAGTGGCAGCTGGCTACAATTCACATCAAACGACATGTTACACCTAACCCTTGAACATCTAACATTGTTTAAAGCTATGTAATAATAATGCCCTACTGTACTTGGTAACAGCGGTTTCCACTCTGCGATGATACTTATAATTGTACAATTTGAATGTTATTCCCCATGCAGATCTCGTGTGAGGATGGCAGTGTGTTACAGGTCCTGTGTACCGTCTACAACCTCCAACCCTCAACCCCACAACACATGCCGGCATGGGCACTGCCTGGACAGAGGGTGGTCAGTATCACGCTTGTTTGTTTGTGTGCATATGTGTGTCATCCTCCCATGGCAGGGGCAGCGGCTCCGAATTCCTTCTCCACCCCTACCCCTGCCGTATAACATGGCATCTTCTACTCTGCGACCCGATTCCAGGGACACGCTCTCAGCCAATCACGTATCACAGAGAAAATCTTCAACGCACTTTACATTAATATTTATGAGATGCGCTAGCTATCGGAACCAATCATGTCGGCTATTCAGTGACAAATAAAAACAAACATGGCGTCGTCTCGGGAAGAGAACTTTTGCGATGCAGGCCGCTGCGGGCGTCGGCGGGGCGCTAGCGTGTGCTGGAGGCTGCGCGCGGATCCCGCCGAGCACGGGGAAGGTGTTAATTCGGTGACTTTGCCCCGCACGGCCTCCCCAACGCGTTAACGGGCTCGTCACCGGGCGGCGGCGGAGTCGCCGGCGGGGAGGGTGACGTCCCTTCGCCGCCCAAGTCAGAAATGGGGTCATGCCAAATAAGGCAAGCTCATGAATATTAATATTCCTTGGTTCGTAGAGTAGAAGATGCCATGTTATACGGCAGGGGTAGGGGTGGAGAAGGAATTCGGAGCCGCTGCCCCTGCCATGGGAGGATGATGTGTGTGTGTGTATGTGTTTGGGTTTGCATGTGTGTGTGTGTGTGCGTGTGTGTGTGTGTGTGTGTGTGTACATATGTGTATGTGTGTGTGTATGTGTGTGTGTGTTTGTGTGTACATTTGTACATGACATGATTGTGTGCATGTGTGTTCCCATTCCGTGTCCATGTCCCCAGATTGTGCTGAGCCCAGTGTTTGTAGTTCGGAGCTGGATCCCCGGCCCACTGCTCATGAACCTGGAGACACGCAACCTGGGTGAGAGGCACCAGTACCAGGTCATGGGGAAGGGCAAAGGTCATGACCTCTACAACATCGAACCTGAACTCTCACATCATGTCACCTTCCAGTTTGGGTGAGTAGCCTCCCGGATTATCGATGAAAATGTTTTAGGAAGACTTTTCCTCAGTAGACTGTCCCAGTGAGGCTTAACTTGTCACGTGGCTTCTTTGAAGTGTGATGTCAACACTGGGTCAAAGGTACATGTATCTGGTAAACGATGTCGGCCTCCATTGCGGTTCAGTGAAGGGTGGTGGGCCCTGATGTATATTAGCCTCCTTCACCCCTCTCAAGAAATAGTCTTGTTCAGTGTCCAAAATCGTTTGTACATGTACTCTATTATGATTGTATTATTTTCTCCATGTAGGAAGACTGGTGAGCCGTCCAGCCCCACCATCCGTCTGAACTCTGACCTGATCGGTGATGTGGACAGGAAACCCTCCCTGCCTACAGTGGAGAAACTCTGCAGCATGGCAGAGGGGAGGGACAGGGACATGGGAGAAGCCTGGCCCTTCTCTGGCCATGCTACAAAAGAGTAAGATTTGCAGTAACTGCCATGCAGCATCATTGTAGAATGTTAAAAATATGTTACATACAGCAACGTTAGGGAGTGTATCCTTGCAGGTGTGGACCTGTTAGACAGAGATGCTTCACAACTACTGTGTTCAAAAGCTGGAAAAACAGATGTCATCCATGATTGTTTACATTCTGGTACATGTAGTTTGAGGTGGCACAACAAACTGAGTGTGCCTTGTGTGGGCTGGTTTATAAAAATTAGCGCCAACCATAAATGTAAGAAATATGAGATAAATGCACAACTATGTGAATTTAGTAAATGACAATCACACAAAGATTTTTCATTCAAAATTTGGTGCCAAAATGTAAGTTACATAATGCCCTGTAAAATTGGGAAATAGAATGATGCATAAAATTATGTTATACAATGTAGCTACGTACCTTGTCAATTGCAAGGTTTGGGAGACTGTAACAGATTTTGATCTTTTTTTTATATTTAACTGAATACTTGTTTCATAAACAGTGACTCGGATGCACACCAGGACGTGGTGGTGTTCCAGCCAACCACAGAGCTGAAGGTGACCTTCGCAGAACACTCGCCGTACGTCGACACCCTCCTGCTGAACGTCGCACCCTGGTGCCTGCTGGGAAACGACACGTCCATCCACCTGGCCCTGGTGTTGGCTGGTGGGGAGACCTTGGATCTGCCTGCGGGCCAGGCTATTGCTCCACCAAAATTTAGGGTAAGAACAGGTCCAGACAAGACTGGCAATGAAAACATACATTGCCATGGCGACGGTGGTTGCTGTTAGGGTTATTGTTTGCATGGCACTGCCTCATTTCATGATTTTGAGGAAGACTTGGTACGTACCTGTTAAGTCTAGACAGATACAGTGTACTCCTCCCCTGAGTGTATACAAAAATGTAGTGAACGAGCCCCAGGGTCACAGAAAGTAGGGCCCGGGGCAGAGAGGTCTTCCCAAGGGTTTCCAGGAATGTGGGCATAGATGTGGGTCAGAGACATGCCTGTGGACATTCTGCATTCCTGTGGACAAAATGCCTGTACCATCCTAGAATTTTTGCAAACTGCACACAATACTGTACCATTAGGCTCCTCCCTGAGACGTCGCCAAAAAAGCCACTAGTGAAGACCCCACGGCTTGTAATACTTTTTCTGCATCTGGTGCAGGTAGTATTAAAACTGACCCGGATCATACTTAAAACTGTTCATAAACCATTTATTGATAGATAGTCAATACAACTAAATTGGATAAAAATCCACGTTCACCTACATTTGTGTGTAAACCCCACACATAGACATAAGGTCAATGACCAGGACCAGATGTCTGTCTCCATGGTAACTAGTGATGTACATGTAGCAGACACCCTGTGGGATACATTATGTAGCAAGTTGCAGGACAGAACCATAGGGGCAGGTCACTATATACATTGTACATAATAAAATCATTATGTTTGAGTAAGAATAAACAGTGATGTACAGTGTGGGACTAGACAATGTGTTATACATATTCTTTGGAAATGTTACATTCTAGTTCAAAATATGAATTCTCTTTGCAGGGAGAGTTCTGTATCAGTGTGAAGCTGCCTTGTTCAGCTGAAGACAACACGTCGAGTCTGCCCCAGTCCCTCCCCATCCTACTGGAGACAGAAGACCTGTTGTCTGTTGCTAAGTATGGAGAACGACTGGTCATGCCACGGGAGGGACTAGGGCTGCTCAACATTGTCATACCACCACAGCAGATAGGGGGCGCCACTAAGGTGGGACTGACTATGACTTTGTAGCACTCTTCATGAACTAAGATGTACAGGCTAATATATATAATTTTTAAAGAAAAGTCATAGTATGTATTATGTATAAGGTCCTGAAATCACTGTGGGAAAACAAGCCAATATCACGAAGGACAGGTATATTGTTTATTTTGATGAATTATCATATACAGGTTCTTGAAATCATTACTGTAACAAACAAATGTGAAAATTGATGCATATGAAAGCAAATGTCCTCCTCTTTCCCAATACTAGTATTTTTCCAATTATCGATAGTCATCATGTCTTTATCAGAATGCAATGCACTCTGCTACTGCTAGGGGGCATTGAGGTAAGAATGTAGTCCTCAACATTGCAAATTCAGCTACAATGTACTTGAATTCTAGTAAAATGTTAAACTTTATTCCAACACACAGTTTACAGAGAGATCAAATTTTCAGAGACCACTGTCGCCTTCATCAGGATCATAATGAATGACCAATCACTTCACAAACCGTAACTCTCGCGAGATCACGTTGTGAAGTGATTGGTCATTAATTATCCTGATGAAGGCAACAGTGGTCACTGAAAATTTGATCTCTCTGTAGACTGTGTGTTGGAATAGAGTTTAACATTTTACTATAATTACTACCAACACAGATGAACTTTTAAGATGGCACTTGAATTGTGTCTTCCTGTAGGTGTGTTCCCTATGTGTGTCCTCTAGTGTACAACATGGCATACAGATCCTGCGACTTCAGGAGAGAGTGTTCCTCACTAACCTGAGCTCACGGCCTCTCAGAGTACAGGCTATCACTGCTGATACAGACAGCAGGAAGGTCAGTACAAACATGTGTTTTAGACATGATAGTAAAAGGTGGTCTTGTGGTTGGGATTGTTGACTTAGAATCTGAAGGTCCTGGGTTCAAATCCCTAGCACGTTTCAATGTTGTGTCCTTGGGAAAGGCACTTACATGCAGCTATTTCTTTACTCAACTCACTTCAGGTAAAAATGAGTTACGTATTGTAAATAGCTTTTATTAGGGACATTCTCAAACAAAGGTTAAAGATATCCAACACTGTATGCTTAATGTCATCAACAAAATTTTGAATTTTTTGCCAGTAGAGTACAATAAGATCATAATGATAATCCAATTTTTCGAATTGTTTTAGGGGGGTCTCCAGGACTATGAACTCCAAAGCATTGAGGTTACCATGGCAACATCTAAGAACAAGGACACCATGACACCCATAGCATTATGGGATGCCATCGGAGCTGACCAATCAGAAAGCAGTAAGGATGCCAGGTGGTTTGACAGAGGTGTGCAGTACATCAGGTTCTCTCTGGCCAATCAGGAGGGTGCTTCCACTCCAGAAGGTGAGTTTGGCAGCTGTTACACTCAGTCTGATTGGTCACTTTTTGGTCATTGGTCATGTTTTATTCATAGGTATGAATGTACAATAAAGGTTATCATGATTATTATCCAGGAAATTCCAAAAAGGAGACTTGGAGCCCTGCCTACAGACTTGGTTCTCACCTGAGATACTCGCTGTCTGTCCCTGACTGGGCTCCTGATGGGACCTGCCAGTCTGTTGCCATGGTAACCACCGTGAACGAGTCACAGGGCCAGCTGTACGTGGTGCTAGATGAGGACCCCAGTCCCAGGTTCATCCTCCATAATAACTGCACCTGGATGCTGCACTTTGGAGAAGAAGCTACAGAAGAACAGAAACTAGGTGACTATCATAGTGTACTAACCAATTTTCTTATTATAATAAACAAAAAGTATATTTTCTAAAAATTCAACAACAGGAAAATTGCAGAAAACTAATAATGTGCCCAAAAATTGTTATTCATAATTGTTTATAACTTTGGTCTATACCTGTGTCTATAATTTATCATCAACTGTGTTTTTATCTTTTAGATGGTATTCCAGTCAAAGAAGAGCTACTTCTGTCAGGAGTTCCCACAATTCCTCCAAACAGCAACACCTGCTATTACCCAGAGACCCTTGCAGCATCATTCCCAGAATTCACCGAGGCATCAAACCTGAGCAGCCATGTTCGCATCCGTCTGGCCGGAGAGTACTACGGAGCAGAGTGGAGCGAAGACGAGGGGTTTCTATTCGAAGGTCTTCTCTGGACCCAAGCCATCGACATCTGTGAGAAAAAGGAGCACCAGATTGGGCTCCCAGGATTCGGGGAGGTGAGAGTTCGAATCAGCAGCGTGGGAATGTGCAGACATGTTTACATCGACCCAGTGAAGAGAGAAGAGATTGGCAGCGACTTGGAGTTTGTAGAGTTCGATGACGTATCAGAGGAGGTTAAAGAGGGAAAGAACGGTAAAGCACCATCCAAACACACAGTTTCCCTGAGCGCCAAGCAAGGAAATTCCTCAGAAGCAAACAAAACCCCTCCCTCAAGCAAGCTTGCCTTGCAGTGTGCCGTTTTCCTTTCAGAAGCGTGTTTGATTCTCGTTGACGAAGTGTCGAACCCTTCTCTAGCCACAGAGCTGTTGAGGATAACAGCCGACAAGTGCTACGTTGCCTACCATCCCATCAGCGCAGATACAGAAATGTCAGAGGAGCTTCTTCAAGTGAGTGCTTGGAGATTGCAGGTAGATAATCAGATTTTTCACAGGGGGAACTATGACTTCGCAGTCTTGTTATGTTCAGAGAACCAAGAGGACGAAGGGCTTCAACACAGGAGAATGTGGTCCATCGAAAAGACCGCCGACTTCTGGGCGTACCATAGCATGGTCGTCGCCAAAGTCGGTTTGAACAGAACGTTGTCCGACAACAAAATGGCGGTCGGGTTTGTGAAGCTTACGCAGCGACCGGTGACGGTTTACATCGAGGACACCTTCATCTATGACATCCTCAACCTGATTGGTTCCTTTTCCATCCCTGCCGCATCCGACAGCACAAATCAACCAATGAGGACGCAGGTACTACCACGAGAAGTGAAGGAAGCAGCGGCATCTCTGATTGGCCCAGTGAGCATCCCAGAACTGACGATAGAAGAGATGACGATGCTTGTAAGCGTCCATGCCTCGATGAAAGTGTTCATTTCCTCAGACCACACGCGTCTGACGTTCAAACACTTCTCCCGCACTCCTGTCTTTACTGTATCCAGGAACCTGGTTCAAGATCTGGCCTTGCACTACGGCTCTGGAGCTCTTTTCAGGGCAGGTAATACTCTTTTAGCCAGTTATTAAATTAAAAGAAACTCAACAAATAAGTTTTACCGCACAGATTTCACACCATTTGGCAATAATTTCCTGATTATGTCAACTTCGAATTCCTTAAACTCATCATTTTCCTGATAAACAGAATCATACAAATACATGTAAGTCAATTGATACAATTTTGCATTTCTGTGTAGTAGTAGACACAATATAGTGCAGCTCATATCTCTCACTTTAATTGTAATCACTCAAAATGGTCAGAGTAGACAGGTAGCCATTATAGTAAACATGATTCATAATGTCAAAAGAAAAAATAATCTGACATCAGAGACTACCAGAAAGTTGTTGCAATGGTAAGGTAGTCCTTATAATATACATATATATGTACCAGTAATATATAATAATGTGGCTCCTACAAATGCATACACAATTTACCTAAGACTCTAGATTTGACTGTATCCTATAGCTAAGAGATTTGAAAAGAAATTCCTCACTGTCACCTTTCAGGTTGGGTGCTTGGTTCCCTGGACATCCTGGGCAGTCCTGCCAGTTTACTGGGCAGTATCAGCAGTGGGATATCTGACTTCTTCCGCCTGCCGTATGAAGGGCTGACCAGGGGACCCGGGGCTTTTGTGTCAGGGGTCACCAAAGGTGCCTCCTCACTGGTCAGACATGTGTCAGCAGGTAAGGTACTCAACGACACTGTATGTATCATGAAAGTTCATCTGTGTTGGTAGTTAAAATGTTTAAAGGTAAAACTTTTGGTCCAACACAAAAAATTCTCTCACCTAGAGCTTTCGACCAGTCACTCTGGTCTTCCTCAGAAGACTGACCCGGTGAAGCTTGTCATGTTATAACAAGACTATTCCTTGAGAGGGGTGAAGGAAGCCATATACATCAGGGCCCATCATCCTTCATTGAACCACGATGGCCGCGGGGGCCGACATCGTCTACCAGATACCTTTGACCCAGTGTTGACATCACACTTCAAGGAAGCCACCTGACAAGTCTCACTGGGTCAGTCTACTGAGGAAAAAGACCAGAGTGACTGGTCGAAAGCTCTAGGTGAGAGAATTCTTTGTGTTGGACCAAAAGTTTTAAGTGCAGCCATAACACTGTAAGGTTTGTACCACTCTTAACATTACTTTTTTCGATAAGTATGGTGGGTTCGTAAATGTTGTGTGACCTCCAGTTAATGTCCTATTCGAATGACGTCCCTAAATGAAACTGGGTACTCGTTTTCACCTGAGTAAAGTGAGGAAAATTGTGTAAAGTGCCTTTCCCAAGGCCACAAGATTGGTGAAATGGTAGGATTCGAACCTGGGATGTCTTAGTTCTGAGCCAAACCCCCTGACGTTAACACGGCCCTTCACAATTATAACAACAAGAATCATGTGTATGTCTTCTCCCCCAGGTACGCTGACGTCCATCGTGAACCTGGCCAATAGCATCTCCCGTAACATGGACCGGTTGTCGCTGGACCAGGACCACGCCCACCGTAACCAGGAGTGGCGGCGGCGGCTGCCGGCTGGGGTCACCACCGGCCTGGTGCAGGGGCTGTCTGGGCTGGGACTCAGTCTGCTGGGTGAGGAAGAACACAGCTGCTTAAAGATACACAATCTCATTTGCTTATGAAGCAAGTTTAAACTGTGATTGCTGACACAAATAAAAATAGACTTATCAAAAGTTTATCTTGAAAGTTCATCTCGGTTTGTAGAACTTGTGAGGCAAGTTTGAACACTCAGTAATTTCCAACACAATCAATATTGTGTAACTCCAGTCCCTATAAAGGAGCAATTCACTGCTTTTGCGACATCACATTATGCACATGACACGTGACTCAGGAGCATATATAGGTTGCAGGAACTCTGTTGTGCTCCCATCTTTGTTGAGGGATTGTTGTGATGCCCTGAGGTACATGTAGATGGCCCCTTTGATACCTAATGAGACCAAATGCTCAGCCGATTCTATTATATGTTGAAAATTTGGGTCCAACTTCTTGTGTAGGGAAAAGATTTGCTTCAAAATGACTTAGTAATACAGATGAAACTTTCAAGATAAAATCTTCAAGTTGGTTTTTGACGAAAATTTGCTATTTTCCCATCCGCCCTGTTTAGGTGCGATCGCAGGTGTAGTGGACCAGCCCATCCAGAGTATCCAGTATGCCATGGACAGCTCGGAGCAGACCGTGACCCAGCGAGCCACAGGGGTCATCTCAGGGGTCGGGAAGGGCTTAGTGGGCGTGGTGGCCAAACCCATCGGAGGGGCGGCCGAGTTCGTGGCTCAGACTGGACAAGGTAAGATTTGCAATGTTCACTGTTGACTATATTATACAAAAATTAATGTATGTCTTTAAGACATTAAAGATATTACATTTGAACAAGTCATTCTATGTAATGTAGCTAGCTGCTGCCGCACCACGTGCTTGCAAAGCTGGTGTGTTGTGCCATAGGGCGGTTATAACCGCTATACAGATACAGACACAGAAAAATATGAACATTTAAAAAAGCTTCGATAGCGAGACAGGGATTGTCTATGAATAATTGGGAATGAGGCAGAGAGATATTCTGCTGTGCTTAATTTCTTCATTTGTTTTAAAGGCGTGTAACAGGTCACCTTTTGGGTAAGTTGTTGACTAAATAATCTAAAGGTTCTGGGTTCAAATCCCTAGCTGGTCCCTATGTTGTGCCCTTTCATGGGAAAAGCCCTTTTACCTTTTTCTTCATTCGACTCAGGTGAAAATGAGTGCCTGGCTTCAGGTGAAGTGCAGATCTTATGTTTGGATACAAATTTTAACCTTTTTATTGGTTTATCTGCAGGTATTCTCCAGGGAGCAGGTCTGACCCACCTCCCCAGACCCAGATGTACCCCCACCATACAGGAGGCTTGTGATGCTGAGAACGGACAAGTCAAGTACACATGGTAACATGGGACTTTTATACCTACATTGTATTGCAAGGAGAAGATGAACCATTTTTTTTTCTGGGGGCCTACAAGGCCTGGGTGCCATCTTCCATAGTTTCTGCCAGCTCCTAAGCCGTACAGTACAGATCGCGGGATAAGCATCATCGGGATTCGGGATTTTGCGGGATATCCCGCGGGAGTTTGCGGGATATCCCGCGGGAGATTGCGGGATATCCCGCGGGAGTTTGCGGGAGATCACGCGGGAGTTTGCGGGAGATCACGCGGGATTCTTTCGGGACGCCTTCGTGTCCCGCATACCGCGGAGCAGAGAGAACTTGGTGCGAGACACTGTGGGTCCTGGACACCGCCGGTGCGGCGTCGTGCCACATTTTTTTTTCGTCATGTCCGGCGCTCAGCCTGTCGATGTAGCCCCCTGACGCAGATTTGCCACACCCGCGCACGAAAGTAACGTTATCTGTACTTTCTACAATTTTTACGAAGCTGTTGTGCAGCATGAAGGACGCAATTATCATCCCACTGCGCTGCACTTGCGCTGTATTGTCGGGCACTGCTGCGATCCATTGTTTTGTTTTCGCCCTACGGCGCGCCATTTCCATTGTAGCAGGCGTGGACGGCCCGCATGCAAATGAGCCAGATCGTGACGTCATGCGCCCCCGACGCTGGCCGAGAAAGGCCGAGAACAAACCGAGTTACCAGCAGTTCCGCAGATTTCCATATATGGGACGGCGCTATCGACGAAAGGAAGGAAGATGGCGGACATTTTGATAACAACAGCATTTCGGCGATGTGCGACAAAGATGGATTTACAGGCATTTTATGAATATGTATTACTACCTGTTTTTCCGCTTCCTAAATATTAAAAAAATATTCACCACGGCACTGGCTCGCCGGACACTGCGGTAATCCATTAAATCATCGTTTTGTTTTCGCCAAATTTGTAGCAAGCAGGCGCCTGCATGCAAATGAGCCAGATCGTGACGCCATGTGCCCCCGACGCTGGCCGAGAAAGGCCGAGAACAAACCGAGTTACCAGCGGTTCCGCAGATTTCCATATATGGGACGGCGCTATCGACGAAAGGAAGCGGTGAAGGAAGGAAGATGGCGGACATTTTGATAACAACAGCATTTCGGCGATGTGCGACAAAGATGAGTTTACAGGAATTTTATGAATATGTACTTATTTTTCCGCGCCCTAAATATGAAAAATATTCACTAACGGATGTATCTATAGCAGCTTTATAACGTTTTTGTCCGGAAAAATCATACATTTTTCCTCGATAGTACAGCAGAATTTTGTCGTTGTTGATCAGCCTTGCTGTTCTCGACGCATGGATTTTGGACATTTTTTTTTATTTGTCGGTGTCTCCGTGGTTGTCTTTGACAGTTATGGGAAGTGATATTCATAAGAAGGATATCTTTAGCATTCAAGTTGAAGCTACCTGATAGATACGTAAGTCTTCTTAGTCATTATTTAAATGCTATAACGAAACTGCATATTTCTGCTTTTACCGATGTACAAGTTATAACAGTAAGTACATGCGTTGTGGACCAAGCAGATGTAATGAGAGTATGTTTTTGTTACATAAATTTGCATTTCGAGTAGTGCATTGTTTCTCTAAGTTTAATGCCGACTTTCAAGAAATTTGTAAGCAAACCCTTGATGCTTCGTAACTATAATGACTCTTTAGTTTAGCTAATGATAACATATGTTTGAAACGAGCATAGATCTGTAAAATATCTTTTTTGGGGGGACTTTTATTAATAAGATGATGATACTGATTTATAAGACAGGCTACTTTAATTAGACCTACCTTTATTTCGAGTACCTCACAGTTTTCTGGGGGTTTTTCCAACCAATGTTTTAAATGCTCAATAAGTAACTCATGCTAATAACTACATGCAATCACAAAGACTCACATAATGATTTCAAACCAACTTTATTTGTACATCCCATTTGGATTTCAACACTGAACTGTCATAGATACACAAATACACATACCATTAAGATAGAGGGACACAGTAACATATCACAGTAACATATCGTACCTGCAAGTTTTATCTGAAACACTCAGACTTTGAGAACTATGGATCCAACTGTTTAGAAATCACTGCCATTATTTTGTTTATACTTCATATATGGTAACAAAGAAAAATTCAACATACACCCACAAGGGTATGTAAACAAGTGCAGGTCAGTACAGGTAGACATCAGAAATACAATTATCTTGCTCTAGTCTAACTAAGGTGCATATATATGCAGCATCCCAGATAAAGGATTGCACATCCAAATTTATAAACAAGGCAAAACTTAACAGAGCTGTATCAGTGACATTGCAGCATGCAAAGTGTAAATTTAAGCAATGGGCATGTTTTCTTTTGCCTGGAGTGCCTTGCTTCCCCTCTTCTTCAGGTACCTTCCCCATTCATCAATCTGTTTCACGCATTGTTTCCATTCGACTTCCATGGCTTTGTCGGATAGATGGAAGTACATCTGTGTTGCTTCCCTGATCCGTCCTAGCTTTTCTTTATCATGAGCACCCTTTCCCTTTGTGCCAGAACAATTTTTTGAAAGGAACTCTTCAGGTGTGATAACCATTTTTGAAAGCTTTTGTGCAAACTGTTGAGAATAGTGACAGCGCATTCTGAGGTCCTGTAGGTCTGTGCCAAAGTATGTATCCATGTTAGATCTCCCAAGAGAAGAAGAAGCAGTAGAGAAAGAAGAAGAAGCAGTAGAGAGAGAAGAAGATGCAGTAGAGAGAGAAGGGGAAGCAGCAGGGAGAGAAGAGGAAGCAGCAAGGAGAGAAGATGCAGTAGAGAAAGAAGAAGAAGCAGTAGAGAGAGAAGAAGATGCAGTAGAGAGAGAAGAGGAAGCAGCAGGGAGAGAAGAGGAAGCAGCAGGGCGAGAAGGCTCAGTCCAAGAAGAAGAAGAAGAAGAGGATAGATTGGAAGAATTGGAAGATTGTGTGGTGATGTTGCGTGTCTTTGTGATCAGAGACAGAAGCAGGTCGACCTTTTTCTCAAGGCCGAGCAGCCGGTCGACCTTGCTTCTCATCTCTGACATGTCGTGCTGAAGTGCGTCAAGTCTGTCGCTGTTCATAGTGTCCATGACATCTGTGAATAGTATGTCTTCGAGGTCTGTTGTATTTTGCAGAATTGGTGATGCTGGTGCATGTTTGTCGATGTCCTCCTCACCATCACGACGCACTGGACTGGATGCCATGAAGTTAAGTCGGAGAGGGGATTGTGTGGGAGGTAGGTGGGGAGGGGTACTGTGTACTGAGGTTGGTGTCTCTTTGCTGTTGTTGTTTGTTGGTGGTGTGGAAGCATGAACATCATGTGTGTGTTTATAATTACTTGTGGTTTCTGTTGTCGTGTTGACAGTCTGCTTTGTTGTTTCTGTTGTCGCGTTGACAGTCCCTTCTGTAGGTTGTGTTGTCGCGTTGACAGTCCCTTCTGTAGGTTGTGTTGTCGCGTTGACAGTCCCTTCTGTAGGTTGTGTTGTCGCGTTGACAGTCCCTTCTGTAGGTTGTGTTGTCGCGTTGACAGTCCCTTCTGTAGGTTGTGTTGTCGCGTTGACAGTCCCTTCTGTAGGTTGTGTTGCCGGGGTGGATTGTGGCCGAGGAGCAGCGGGAGCCCGAGACACCACAGTGAATGACTGTAGGAAAGAAAACAATGGTTGAGTACATTGGCAGATTTTTTTTAAAAAATGAGTGTGTTTAAAACATAATGACCGTTTATGGGCTATGAGTGCATACCTCAAGCTATTTTGATAGATTTTCTGCTGACAACAATTGTGTAGTACTCTATATATTACAGTGCATTTTCCCCAAGAATACTAGAAATACATGTATAACCAGCCATGTGTGATTCTTAGATACTTGATGATTATGATTACAGTTTTGTTTCTTACTTTATAAAGGTACTAGTATTACTTTTTGAACGACCATTATACATGTAAGTGGTGATATTTCTTACTTCTTTTTCTTTCTTCTTAGCAAAGGCATCGATGTCCGGCACCTCTTCGTCATTGCAGTCCAGATTAAATACCTGAGCTGTCTCCTCTGAGCCTGTTTGATGACAGAAAGAGTAAAGCAGCTCAGTCAAGCATTTATTCATACACACATTAGATTTAGCTCCAAGATGACGTCATTAACTAATTATCGATAAAAATACTAATCCTAATTATTACACATGAATAAAGGAAATTTTTGTTCATGGGAAATACGATTTTACAGGAAACATTTCATGTTATCAGAGTAAAGAATGATAGTTCCATGTCCACTCGATAGCTAACCTTGCTATTCATTGACTCAACAACAAACAATTGCTCTAGTTGAGTTACATACAACAGATAAAATCATGATGATGATCATAGACAATTGACTTACGTCCAATCTTCATGAGACGCCCATCCACCATTCGTTTGGCATACGTCGCGGTGACAAGGTCTCCCTCTTCTGCCGTCTTCCATCCGGCGACGTCCGCGGCCAGTACTTGAATCATCCGCCCTCCCACACTGATGATGGCCTTTTTAGGGGACTGAAAGAAATGGGATCAGCAACTGATTGTCACCAAGCTTGTGCCGAAGAATTATAGATTATAGTTTTGCGCCTGATTTCGAAACTAAACAGGCTGTAAAATATCTGTAAGTTACACCAGCTGATTGGGGACATGCAGATCAGCCGGGTGAATATAAAAATAAAACATGCCTATGTAAAAGAACAAGATGTCAGGTTAACTTAATGTTGAAAACAATGTAGAAAATGTAATGTAGAAAACAACGTACCGGTGCCACCTCTCCCTCTGTTGGCTGTTGTTTCGGTTGCCTCTTTCTCTTCTTTCTCGGTTCGTTTTCTTGTGTGTGTTGTGATTCATTGTGGTTGTTCCTTTCCTGGTGCGTCTCTGCTTCCCACTCTCCTTCCCAGAATTTCTGCCCTGGCGTATACTCTGTTGGTAGTCTTTCGCAGTCAACGTTGTCCAGGATCTTTGTTACCGCC